ATCAGTCAGCTCTAAAAACAGGAACCTTGTCCTGGTTCTCTGCGGATAATTATTAGTAAAGTAAAATGAATTTATTCCATGGCCAACCTTTTTCCTTAATGACGTTTTCCTCCCATTTTCCAAGTAACTTCTCTTTCAATAAAAATGTACTACATGTTGAGGAATAATTTGCCACTCATTTGGCAAAATTACTCCTTCTCCAATTCTCTTCTGTATCACTCCTTACAAGATGGCCTTTTTCATTTTCTTATCTTGTTTATCTTTTTTTCTTTTATCTTCCAACCCTTAAAAAAAAGCCCTTTAACCTCTGATTATTTATTGATCCCAACAAAAAGCTCCTCAATGGAGTGAAAGTCTTGACAGTTCTCTCAACATGCAATGTTCTGTTTTTCTTCAAAGATAGCAATTGTTATAAACTACTCACTCTGATTTGAAAATACAAGTTCTGATGATGAAACCTTGACCCTCTTAAATATATACTTTGATTTATAGCAATAATAATAATTGTATTAATAACCATTATAACAGCACTTGATGAATTCTTTGCAATTTTTTCTGATTTCAAAACAGTAAGAACAATGTATTTAAAGTCAAGTTGCCCAGCACACTCTACCCAGCTGTGTACTGTTTAAGAAATTAAGAGGAGTATGTATCTAGGGAGGTGTGTTCTAGAGAATTATTGTAGGACATTGTCTAATGGTGTTGTGATGTATGTGCTAAGTGTGTGTGTTGTATATATTTCACTGACACAAGTGAGATGACCAGCTCTACTTCATTCTAACTGTGAAATTCATAGCATAAAAATAATTGACAGTATAAAAATAATCAATGGTTTCATGTTAAATTAGTTTAGGTTACCCTGAAAAGAGACTGAGTTAGAGATTTGCATTAAGAATTTCTTTTTTTTTTTTGACAGGCAGAGTTAGACAGTGAGAGAGAGACAGAGAGAAAGGTCTTCCCTCCGTTGGTTCACCCACCAAATGGCCACTACGGCCGGTGCTGTGCCAATCCAAAGCCAGGAGCCAGGTGCTTTCTCCTGGTCTCCCATGCGCGTGCAGGGCCCAAGCACTTGGGCCATCCTCCACTGCCTTCCCAGGCCACAGCAGAGAGCTGGACTGGAAGAGGAGCAACTGGGACAGAATCCGGTGCCCCGACCGGGACTAGAACCCAGGGTGTCAGCGTCACAGGTGGAGGATTAGCCTAGTGAGCCGCGGCACTGGCCTGCATTAAGAATTTCATTGGAGAGCATTGGTAGCAGTGATTGGAGCTGGCTTATACTGTCATGAATTGTTCACATCCACTCCACATCCACTGACATCACATTGGTAGCTTGAAAATGGCCACAAATCAGTAAACACTACAAATCAGAGTTCCAGAGAGCTGGCTGCTAAACATTTACCAGCATACCATTGAGGCCACATAGAATGGTACAATAATATCTAGTAGAGTAAGAGATCAGGAATAGGAAGAGGGAACAGTTCAACTGTGATGTCATCACAGCAAAGACCTCAATCAGGCCCTGGGGAACTGTGCAACTGAGATGGCTTTTAGGGTTATCTCAAATTGAATGCAAGGAAGCCAGGCTTTGATGTCCTCCCCATTAAACCAGTCAAAGGGTACAAGCTACTAGGGTAGAAGTATGGGACAGGGCATTAACTTATGGAAAACAACTCTATTCAGCTAAAATATTTCCTAGGGAGGAACTCAACTAAAACATCCACTTTAAGAAAACTGATAATGGAAAATGTTAAATATACATTTAAGGCCAGTGCCACGGCTCATCACTTGGCTAATCCTCCACCTGCAGTGCCAGCACCCTGGGTTCTAGTCCCGGTTGGGGCGTCGGATTCAGTCCCAGTTGCTCCTCTTCCAGTCCAGCTCTCTGCTGTGGCCTGGGAAGGCAGTGGAGGATGGCCCAAGTGCTTGGGCCCTGCACCTGCATGGGAGACCAGGAGGAAGCACCTGGCCCCTGGCTTCGGATCGGCACAGCGCACCAGCCACAGCACACTAGCCGTGGCGGCCATTTGGGTGGTGAACCAATGGAAAAAGGAAGACCTTTCTCTCTGTCTCTCTCTCTCACTGTCTAACTCTGCTTGTCAAATATATGTATGTATATATATATATATATACATGTATATATATATACACATATTTATATATATTTAAATGGAAAGAACACTATAATGAGCCCTTATATACCCATTACCTAGCCTCATTCATTAGCAATTCATGGCCAGTCTTTTCATCTATCCCCCTACCCAACTCACTCTCCCTCTCCCACCAGATTATTTTGAAGCAAATTCTGGAAGCCTATCATTTCATCAGTAAATATTTCACTGAATCGCTCTTAAAGGTAGGGATGACTTCATCTGGTCCTCTTACAACCTCATTAAAAGATACATTTTCAGGATAACAAAGACATTAAAATGAGTCAATTGTTAACCTTTTTGATCTCTATCTCACAATCTGCATTTAAGTTCCTTGGATCAAAACTAGTAATTATTTCTAAAATAGGTATGTCGTGTCTTGAAAGATAATAGAGCAATCATTTTTATTTTCTTCTTAAATATGCCTAACACTATCTTTGGCACACTCTTCTAGATATTAATAAGGAAATCATCTTGGAAGGCAACAATATTCAAGTTGTAAGAGAAGTAGCAGAGCATAAAGAAAAATTCCAAGACACTGATAGTCTTGATTTTTCTTGGAATGCCTGTCTTCTTTTTAAGGAAGTTTTCTCTAAAAGCTTATTCCTGCTAAACTTTATATATTAACAGGAACATCTGAATAAAAAAATAAGAGAACAAGTCAAACCAGTCTGCCCATTTGGAAAAGGTTTATGTATATGCCAGTTAGGGTTTAAGGTAGGACTCATTATTCTAATTGTTGTTGCATCCCTCAGTCCACATGAGAAGCTGAAATCTGACATTTGCAAGTCAAGCGCTCTGAGAAGTCATCACAGACACAAATCAACAAAATATCCAACAACTGAAAATCAGACTAGAAGCAGGAGGGTTTTTTTTTTTATCACAGCATGAAACAATGCTCATTTTTATTCAGCCCAGATGCTAATTTTTATATCTAAAATATTGATTGAAGGGGCTAGTGATTTTGGCTCTCACCCAAGTTTATTCAGGATCTTTTTAAATTAGGTTTGGGTTGGCTTCAGTGCCCAGGGCCAGGAGTAGGTCTGGCTCCAATCACCACATTGAGCTCTCTACTTCATCATGGGCCAAAGACTAAGGCAAGGGAATGGCAGCTCCTTTGTTTCTCCAGCCTCTAGGTGTGCTTTTTTCCAAATTTGAAGCATGCATTGAGCAAATGTGTAAGGAAGACTGAAAGAAGTGTAAAGGCCTCACTGTGACAAGATTAGTCTACCCTACAACTTGACTATGATCCCCAGCATAAATAAAGCTCTGTGTGTGAAAAATGAATGGACAGCAATGTGAGGTCATGGAAAAACCATATTGGCATATTTAGAATGAAAAGTTTTCAACAGGCCAAAACAGCCAATCAGTCTACGAGTCTTTTACAAGGGCAAAATAATCTTTTTTGTCAACAATACGTGATTCCTTCATAATATTTCTATTTTGTAAGTAATTATAATTTTCATGCAACTACTTTTATAATATGCCTAAGAATTTCATATAATTTATACCAGTCTTTGAAAAGCATCATATATATAAAGCTTCAATAAATCACAGTCACAAATTATAGACTTTTCAAAATAGATTTTACATTACATATAAAAATCATGTTGATATTTAAAAATATAATTCATTTCCCCTAAAACATTTTTAATGAGGTGCCCTATGAAGAGGTTTTTTTTTTTTTTTTTTTTTTTTACATTTTGTTTACATTTCTTTTAGGATTCAGAGAGACACAAAGAAAGAGAGAGAAAGAGAGCTTCCATCCACTGGTTCACTCGCCAGATGCCTACAATTGCTGGCGCTGGACTAAGTCAGAAGCTAGGGGTTGGGAACTGAATTTGGGTCTCCCACATGGGTTAGCAGGAACTCAGTTACTTGAGCCCTCACTGCTATTTCCCAGGGCCTGCATTAGCACGATCCTGGAGTCAAGAGTTAGATGTTAAAAAAAAAAAAAGAGTTAGATGTTGATAATGAATCCAGGGCATCTGGTATGGGACACAGATGCCTTAACCAGTGTGTTAACTACCAAACCAAATACCCACCTTGAGATTTTAACTCTAAGAAAATTCTTAAATAGAGCTTGCAGTATAAATTTGTAATACATTTAAGTAATAAATTAACTCTAGGAAAAATCAAATGCTAAAGATTTTCTTTAAAAGAGAAGATTTTCTATATAGAGGATACATTATATAACACCTATATGTCATCAATGTTACAGGCATATTATAAAAAACTTAAAATATTTTATTAAAGTGAGTCCATTTCTGTAAAATAAAAAATAACTCCTGAAAATTATACTGTTTTTAATTATGCATTTATCATTATAATAGCCAAATAGAAAGTAAACATGATAGCCATTCAAACTGATCAACATGGTTCTCAATTGTGAGTAGGATAGAAAGCCAGGGATGACCAAACATTTGAGGAAAATTAGCAACAGTTAAATGGGTTACTGATGGAAACAAAAAGTTCATGGAAAAGATAACTTTTTAAATGTTGTAATTATGCTCTTTATAAGCAAAACTAGTTGTCTGAAGATATCACATCCACAATACAAGAATAGAGTGATATGAAGAAAGATTCAGAATTCATAAAATATAAAAATACTTAACCAAATGTTTGGTGTAAGTAGATCAAGAGAAAGCAAAGAAATATTTTTAAATTTTACAATACAGACCAAAGGATGAAATAATCTGAGAGAAAATGTAAAAGATATTGGGGAACACATACAGGATACCCAATACCCATCTAAAAGAAAGTTGGGAAAAATGGAAAGCAGAAATAAATCAAAAAAATTAATAGAGCTATTTTACTGATACTGAAATGAAACAGAATATGCAAATGGGCTGGTAAGTGCTAAAATGATGAATAAAAACAGCTTTTCACATAAACACATCTCCATGAAATTCTTCTACACTAGGATAAAAACAAGAATCTAAATGTGTACAGCTAGAAAAAAAATCTAAAAAGTTAAAAGGAACTGATTTTAACTACTTTAACTATAATACTATAAATGTGTCCTCCAGAAAGTTCATACCAATTTTCTCATCCATTGACAACATCTAAGAATAAACTACCTATTTCCTGAATCTGCACCAATATTGGGTATTACCATTTTTATTATTTTAGTCAATCTTATAGAGAAAAAAGTGGGTTCTCTTTAATGTCTAATGCCTACTTGCCAGAGATATAATTTCTACATTTGCATGCTGAGAGCTTTTATTTCTCTTTTGCATGTTTCTTGTTTGTATCTTCTGATACTTTTTTTTTTTTTTTTTTTGACAGGCAGAGTCAGACAGTGAGAGAGGGAGACAGAGAGAAAGGTCTTCCCTCCGTTGGTTCACCCCCCAAATGGTCGCTACGGCCGGTGCACTGCGCCAATCCAAAGCCAGGGTTCAGGTGCCTCCTCCTGGTCTCCCATGTGGGTGCAGGGCCCAAGCACTTGGGCCATCCTCCACTGCCTTCCCAGGCCACAGCAGACAGCTGGACTGGAAAAGGAGCAACTGGGACAGAATCCGGCGCCCCAACCGGGACTAGAACCCTGGGGTGCCGGTGCCGCAGGCGAAGGATTAGCCAAGTGAGCTGTGATACTTTTTTAAAAATCATGAATGTCTCATAACAGCATTGGGTACTAGAAGATAATAAAGCAATGCCTTCAACATTCAGAGGGAAGGTGTTTTTTTTTTTTTTAATATACAACAAAGGACAAGATAATTTTTAATGTGAGAAAAGATGTAAAAGGTATAGGTATCCATGCAGCAAGGCCAATGTCCACCTATATAAGGATTCAAAAAGTTTGCTTCCTTGGTACTTTTTTCTCAAGGAAAAAAAAAAACTTATCTCACAAATACTCTAATAAACACTCCCAAGCAAAATGAAGACAAGATTGAGAGTAGAATTAATCTAAGAGTATAATAGAAAATAATCCCAGAATGATAATTTATCATTAAAGTAGATTATCTGTTGACAAAAAAGATGATGAGTTATTTTCTGCTCCAAATAGAAGTCTAAATGCGTGTCTCTAGTTGCTAAGGGCTTCCTTCTACATGGTGCATTAAGGACTCAAGCTATTTTCCAGCTTGTGGCCCAACCAGTCCCTAGGATTTTGTCACTGCGTGGTTGGTGATCCAGGTTTCAGCCTGTGGGAAAGGCAGAGTGAGCAAAAAAGAGCCCCTGATGATCCCTATCTAAGGATTGACTTGACCCTGACTCTGTTGACACATTTTGAGAGGGCTGGCCAACCCTGATCCCATGATCCAAAAAGAAATAAGCAGAGATGTCTAAAATGCAGAATTGCTGCAGATAATAGCTCAGCTCCTAGAGACCCCATCCTCTTCCCCCCACACTGCATCAACAGCAACTTCATTGCTTTGCATCAGATGGATGAAATCTTGTAAGCCTCATCCATGTGCCAGTTACGGAATCCAGGGTCAGGAACCCACTGCCAGTGGGGCAGCAGTTTAGATTTTTCTCTACTTCTCATCCCACTGTCTCCTTTCCACCATCTGTAGGTAGATTCACCTAGTTCCTCACAAATGGTGTGTTGACTTCTGTTCACCACGTACAAAGTGCCTGCCAGATGGGAATGCTGTCAGTTAAGGCACCTTTGAAAAGGATGGACTGGAACGGAGGCAGGGGCACTGCTGCAGTGCGTGCCCATCTGCTGTCTCGGCCACGAGAACCCTGCACACACTGAGTCTGGCCCATATGCTCCTCAGGATATGAAAAGAGAGGTGATAGGTTTCTCGCCTCTGTGATCTTCACTCTGCCCCACAAATTGTCACACCTCACCTCAGGACCCTCCTGGGTTTCATTAGTGATGGGGAAAGCCAGCCAACTGGGCATTGGTGTAGATTTGCTTGGGATTGGCTGTTTTAGAAATTTCACTTTCTGAGAGTAATGGCCTGGAGTCAACTCTTCAGTGAAATGCTAGAAAGGAGAAAATATGGTGCATTTTATGGCTTGTTTATCCATCTGCATCTTCCCTGGTGCACGCTCCTGGAGTCTCTCCTCCCCTGGGTTATGACCCTTCAGGATTTTGCAGCTTGTTCAAAGCTACTCTTCAGTGACAGTTTAAAGACTAGGAGAGGTAGCCACGAAAAAGAACAGTGTGCACAGCAATTCATTACTGCTCTATCCCCATGTAGTGCCCTCCTCTGTTTTCACCATCCAGCCTTCCACATGCATATATGTGGGCAATGTGGAAATAGAGTTTATATATGGTAGGTCCTCACCTTGTAAAACTAAGAATTTGGGAGCATGCTTTTTAAAAAAATTCTTGTTCATCATAATCCCCTGGGCACACTCAGGTCTTTTGGATTTATACCTCCAAAGTTCATGATGAAACAGATGTTCTGTTAAGGCAGAAAACCTTCAAGTGAGAAAGTGACAAGTTGAACATTGATTTAGTTAACACAAGTAAGAAAATATTTAAAAGTTATCTTGCATTCATTATCATGCTCTTGAATTATACAATATTTCAAAGAGGACAAACTTCTCTCAATATTCTAATTTTATAATCAAATTTTAATGTGTAAGATAAATTAAAAATATACTTGTCTTTTAAACTTGGAATTCCACCTCTGAAAATTTATAGTAAAAGAATACTTAAGAACATTAGTTTCTGGGAATATTGTGGTCTAAATACCAAAAACCCTTTCATTGCAAAGTGTAAATACTAGGTTAAAATGTAAGACATTTGAAATGCAAGGCTGAGCCTGCAAGAAAGAAAAATTTGGGGTGTTAAAAATGAAGAAGAACTTGAAATTTTAAACTGTAATAACTGGGCTGAAACTTAGGAGGCCAGATGGGTGTTTTGTGGGCTCAGTAACAGAGTTTTTAAGGTCCACATATGGAAAAAAGATGAGGAATTTGGCCAGTAAGAGGTGAGACGTTAGCCTAGAAAAATCTAAAAAAGACAGGGAGAGATGACAATGAGGCTTTTTTCTGTCTGAGCTCTAGACAGAGAAAAAAAAAATTATGGGCTCCAAGAATTCATAGGCATAGGCCTGGACTCTTGAGTTTAGCATTCAGATTTCCACTAAAACTTTCATGAACAAAGAGTAATATAAAATTTATTTTGTGCTAATAATACCCATTGTGGGGCTGGCATGGTGGCACAGTAGGTTAATCCTCCACCTGTGGCATCGGCATCCCATATGGGCGCTGGTTCGTATCCTGGCTGCTCCTCTTCTGATCCCGCACTCTGCTATGGCCTGGGAAAGCAGTAGAAAATGGCCCAAGTTCTTGGGCTCCTGCACTCACGTGGGAGACTCGGAAGAAGCTCCTGGCTCCTGGCTTTGGATCAGCACAGCTCTGACCATTGCAGCCAATTGGGGAGTGAACCAGAGGACCTCTCTCTCTCTGTCTCTCCCTCTCACTGTCTTTAACTCTACCTCTCAAATAAATAAATAAAATCTTTAAAAAAAAAAATAATACCCCTTGCATGCCTGGCAGAAGCCATCAGAAAGTCTCTTTGAAGAGCCACATTTTTACACTGGGATCACCACCAAGGTTCCACAGAAGATGGGCTCACAGCCCCAAATGACAAAACTCAACGGGAAATAATTCAGCATGAGCAAGAGCAAATGAAGATACCAGAAACAACAATAGTTGTCTCCAATGCACTACAAAACAAATCATGTGCCTGGGAAAGCAGAGGAACATGTACTCGGGCCCCTGCCACCCACATGGGAGACCCTGATGGAGTTCCTGGCTTTGGTGTAGGCCAGCCCCAGCTGTTGCAGCCAATTGGGGAGCGAACTGGCTGACTGAACATCTCCTTCTCTTGGTGCATCTCCATCTCTCTATTACTCTGCCTTTCAAATAAATAGATAAACTTTTTTAAAAAATCATCAAAACGTGAGACTACAGTCTATTTAATCCCAAGGACCAATCTTCCCTACTGTTCTAAATTGCCTTCCTATATAAATATTCATTGAGTAACTAATGTGTTAGGCTCTGAACTAGATTTTGGGAAAGGAAGATACACCATTCCTGTTCCTTTCTACAAGATACTGATGTTCTGGTAAATAAACCCAATGGTCTCTTCGATATAGCAAGTGTTTAGTGAAGGCCAGCTGAGCTCACAGAAAGATTTAGTAAAAAGAGGCACGATGCCCCTAGGCTTATTTTATTCTCTGCATTCTGGCATCTTCTTAGACAAGATGTTCTGCTGAAGGCTACTTGCAGTTTGGTGGACATTTTCAATACACTGACAGCTTCCTACCTCAAACTTCTACATCATTCTGCTTCAGGGTTTTCTCTGGTTTCAGCAGTCCCTGGTCCAAGCAGGTAGGAGTTAACGTCCTAGATGTGCACCGCAGCTCCCTTGCCCTTTAGGAGGCTAATTTGAAAGTCTTAGCTTCATCTCTTCTTAGCTGAGTTGCCTCTAAAAAGTTACTCAATGTCTACAAGATTTAATTTCCTCATGCATAAAATGGGATAAGATCTCTCTGGTTTAATATTGGAAGAACTGTGAAATTCCAAGAATGTCCCCAGGCATGGTGCAGTGCTCTATAATGTTAGGCGTCTATACAGTCTCTGAGAGTGTCCTCAGCTACCCCAGTTGTAACTGCCCGTCAACAAAGGCTTTATTGACTGTCTTCCTTTCCCTGGCTTATTCCCCCTCTCTCTTATCTTACTTCTGAAATCACCTCCCAAAGAAATTGCCTGGGTGTGATGTTATTGAACCTCAGCAAAAAAGACAACTCTTCCCTTTTCACCTCCGTTGACCCTATGGTCTTATTAGAGTCACAAGAAGTAACTCATCAGCTGTGGCATCGTTCTAATCTTTTTCAAGGAACCAAACATTGGCCTTCCTGCAGAAATGCCTTGCTGAAAAAGTCAACTATATAAGGGTACTTCAAACAGATTGTGGAAAATAGAATTAAAAGTTTACTTAGATTTAAAAAAAATTGAAATCCATGTATAGTATTTTCATAATGCCCACTTTCCACAAATATTTTGAAGACCTCAGGTATGCACAGATTTCAATTTTTTGAACCAAAATAAATTTATGTTTTGAATTTTTATTTATCTATTTAAGGGGAAGGAAAGAGAGAAAGAATGCTCCCATCAACTATTTCACTTCCCAAATGCTGGCAGCAGACAGGAATGAGTAGGACTGAAACTAGGAGCTGGGAGCTCAATCCAGGTCTCCCATGTGGGTGGCAGGAACCAATTAATTGAGCCATCATAGTTGCTGTCCAGGGTCTGCACTAGCAGGAAACTGGAGTCAGGAGCAAGAGCTGGAATCAAATCCAGGTACTCCCTCATGAATGCAGGCATCTTAACTAGCCTGTTAATCACTAGGCTAGGCTAAATGCCTGCCCCAGACTTATCTTTCAATTACAGTTTCCATGGATGTTTTGAAGTTCCTGCATATAGATAAAGCCCAATGTATTTAAAACTGGATAAGATGAAGCATAGCACACACTTGCTCTGACCCGGCAGTAAAACACAAGATTTGGGTTCAGGGAGACCTAGATTGAAACCATAACTCCACTTCTTTTCAGTTCTGTTGCCTTGGAGGAGTTAACAAATATTTTTGAGACTCAGTTTCCTCATCTGTAAAACTAGTTAATAAGGGCTGCCTTATGATGACTTAATGTGTCGGAAAATGTAAAATATCAAGAAGATACTAATTGGTGCTCAACGATGTCAGGTATCACAGCATTCAGAGGTTACAAACATAAAAGCCTACAGTAAGGAGTGGTGCTACATTGGAGAACAGTGGGAACCATGGCAGAGCAGAGTTCAAGCTCTGTCTTAAAGCATTAAAGTTCAATTGTTTATGGTCCAGAGGTGTGGCACAGCAGGTTAACACCCTAGCCTGTAGTGCTGGCATCCCATATTGGCGCCAGTTCGAGTCCCAGCTGCTCCGTTTCTGATCCGGCTCTCTGCTATGGCCTGGGAAAGCAGTAGAAGATGGCCCAACCCCTTGGGCCCCTGCACCCATGTGGGAGATCCGGAAGAAGCCCCTGGCTCCTGGCTTCAGATAGGCGCAGCTCTGGCTGTTGCAGCCAATTGGGGAGTGAACCAGCAGATGGAAGACCTCTCTCTCCTTTCTCTCTCTCTCTCTCTCTCTCTCTCTCTCTCTCTGCCTCTCCTCTCTCTGTGTAACTCTGACTTTCAAATAAATCTTTAAAAAATAAAAATAAAAAAAAGTTCAATTGTTTAAAGCCCACATCAGCCAAACAAAATACGTTGACAGCCAAATCTCTCCTGCAAGTCTCTCCTTTTGTGATCTCTTATAGATAAACCAGACTAAAACTCTACCTGTGCACAATCTGTGTCTGCTCTCTGAAATATCCTCTTCATCCTTGGTTACCTGTCAAACTTCTATTTGTCTTACATAACCCTATCTAATTTTATTTATGGTTGATCTTATCTATGGTTACTTTCCAATTACTTTGGAAGAAGAATTCTACCATTCTCTAGGCTCATACATGGTCTGCCATAATCAATTCATTGTATTCCATTATCTGCTCTCATGTGGGTCTCCCAATGGTTACAATAGTGCTGGATTCACAGGTACAGCTGACCCAATATTCGTATTGTGGGTAAATTTCTATGTCCTGCATCTTCTGAGTGATCCATCTACCACTCCAGACTCCTTCCTGCAACATTCTCAACTTTCTCTTGATCCAGAAATCACAGTACCCTCCTCTAGCCCAGAGGGTAATATATATCATGATTGCTCAGAGCCAATGCTAGTCCATAATTAAATATTTTGAGTATCCCCTGGGTCTTCCCTGGTCTTCCATGGATGTCTTAAGGACAAAGACTTTGTCCTAGTCACCCTTTTTTTTTTTTTTAAAGATTTTATTTATTTATTGCAGAGGTAGAGTTACGGACAGTGAGAAGGGTGAGAGGGAGAGGCAGAGAGAAAGGTCTTCCTTCCACTGGTTCACTCCCCAAATGGCCGCAACCGGAAGCCAGGAGCCAGAAGCCTCCTCCAGGTCTCCCACATGGGTGTGGGGCCCCAAGCACTTGGACCATCTTCTACTGCTTTCCCAGGCCATAGCAGAGAGCTGGACTAGAAGAGGAGCAGCAGGGGACTAGAACGGGTGCCCACACGGATGTCAGCGTTGCAGGCAGAGGATTAACCTATTGTGCCACAGCTCTGGCCCCTGTCCTAGTCATTCTTGCATCCACTGCACCAAGAGCAGAGCTTAGCCTGTAGTAGAAATTAATAAATGAACGAGTGAATTAAGAAATGAAGAATCCAAAGACCCAATTCTCTTCCTTATACATTTAGCACTCACTGTTTCACATCGGCGATTTATGTGAGAATAAAGTGGACGCAGATTAACAACAGTCCATGTAAGGAGTATGATTTTTCTTCCAAAATACTCCTCTGGGGAACACAGAAACATGGCCTAAATCCTTCCTATCCTTGAATCCAAGTCCATATGGATTGTAACTTCGCCACTCTTCTTATCAAGATGAGGGGTTTATTTCTCCAGCCTTTGAAACTGGGCTTGGCCATTTCCTTTGCTTTGTCCAGGAAGACAACAGAAAAGAAGATGTAAACTGAGGCTTAAAAGTGTTTACTCAGTAGGGCTTACTTTCTTGTTACTACAAACCCTGAGACTACTCTATGATGTTTTCCAGACTACAAGGCTGGGTGATGAGAGACCAATGAAGGAGAGACGGAGCGCCTCATCCAAGGCTCCCTAGACCAAGCAGCCTGCTGGCTGCCGGCCTGACTTGCTAGAATATGCAGCCCAGCTGAGCCACCCAGACTAGAAGCTCTGCCTAAGCAATTCACAAAATTAGAAGGAAAAAGAAATGCTTGTAGTTTTAAGCTGTTAATTTTTGGGGGGACAGCTATGACAGCTGGCCGATCCTAATATATTTTAATAAATCTGTAAAAAACATCCATTTATAAAACAAAATACTAATAAACTTCTTGGAATTAACTTTTAAATTAATTTGAAGGAAAATGTGAAGTATCTGCATAAAAACACTTTGAATGTGTTATGAATTTTTTACACAAATCCTTTAATAGCTTGAGTTTTTAAATTATAAATAAGCCAATTCTCTCTAAATCATAAACTTAATAAAACAAAATTAACTTAAAAATTACTCACCATGGCAGATATTAGAATATATTATCAAGCAAAAACTCAAGTAATTTTTTCTTTTTAAAAAAATAAAATAAGAGTGGTATTTGGGCCGGCGCCGCGGCTCACTGGGCTAATCTTCCGCCTGCGGCGCCGGCACACCAGGTTCTAGTCCCAGTCGGGGTGCCGGATTCTGTCCCGCTTACCCCTCTTCCAGCCCAGCTCTCTGCTGTGGCCCGGAAGTGCAGTGGAGGATGGCCCAAGTTCTTGGGCCCTGCACCCTATGGGAGACCAGGAGAGGCACCTGGCTCCTGGCTTCAGATCAGCGCGATGTGCTGGCCGCAGCGCGCCAGCCGCGGCGGCCATTGGAGGGTGAACCAGCGGCAAAAGAAGACCTTTCTCTCTGTCTCTCTCACTGTCCACTCTGCCTGTCAAAATAAATAAATAAATAAATAAATAACAGTGGTATTTGCACAGCAGTTAAGACACTACTTGGGATACCTACATCCTACATCAAAGCACCTGAGTTCAAGTCGTGACTGTCTCCTGATCCCAGCTTCTAATGATGTGTACTCTGGGTGATAGCACATGATGGTTCAAGTGGTTGGGTCCCTGCCACCCACATGGGAAACCCAGATGGAGTTCCTGGTTCTAGGGTCCTGGCTTAGGCAGGACCCAGCTCCAGCATTTGGGGAATGAATCAGCAAATGGGAAATCTTTCTCTGTCAAACTCTCTCCCTCCACTGTCCCCTCTAAAAAAATACTTCGGCATGAATGTATACTCAACATTTATTTCACAAATATTTATTAAACATCCACTGGACATCAAGCACTGTTCTAGCTACTGGAATGCAGCAATGACCAAGACAGAACAAGCAAGTGTAACCTCATAAAAATTACAAATCAAACAATAGATTATGCAGCAAAATAGAGCACAAATAAGCCCAAGTATCTATGGAAGCTAATATAATAAAAACATATCCCAAACAAGGGAGACATGAAAAGTTATTTAATAATATTGTAATAGAACATACGTATTTTAAGAATTTAATGTTAATATTATCTTGTTAGTACTGTAATATATTCAAACTCCAGTTGTCCTTAAGGCATAACCAATATCATTCTAAGCCATCCAGGATGAACTTGAGATATTTTACTTTAGATTTTTACACGACCTGATTAGAGACTTTAATCTTATCACAATCACAGATACATGTGGTAGGCTTAATTATTAGTTTAAATCCTTCCTGCCACTGTGGTAATATTACATATCCACCCTGTTGACAGGGTATTCCTTCCCAGCCTCTGAATTTGGGCTTAGTGACAGGACATGCTGTAACTAACAGGATGTTAGCAGACACACAATACGTAGAAGCTATAATGTACAGTGTGACTGCCCATATCCTTCTGACGTTCTGTCTTCTGCCATGAGAGCAAATTTAAGAAGCTATTGGTCTAAGGAGGATGACAGAAAAACACAGCAAACCTGGGCCTAGACAGCCTGGAGTAAACCCAGTCAGACTTAATCTAGATCCCCTGTGGGCTAACCCACAGACACATGAGTGAGAAGTCTTTGCATTATAAGCTACTGGTTGTCGTATCGACAGATGGAACGGGAAGATCCATATTTTTAAATAACTGAATTATATCTGAAGTAAAAGAAAAAATTAATAAAAAATTTATTTTTCCTCAAATATAAGATTAAAAAATAATATATGATGAGTTTATTGAAATTGCAGTACTGCCACAAAGAAACAATGAATAAATGGGGAAAAGACATGGGACAATAATCCCACATAAGTAAATTCACAAAGAAAAATTGAATTCAGACAGCAATAAAAATGCGAAATAAGCTTATAATAAAGCATTGTTTCCAATTTTTTACCTATTAAATATATATGAATAAGCAAAATTGAGTTTAGGAGAGACTAGGCCACTTGTCTGCTATTTAAATTTGCAAGGCAGAGTGTCAGTGACTGCCTCATCCAGGGCTCCCTAGACCAAGCAGATAGGGAGAGAGAGGGAGAGAATCTTCCATCCACTTCCATCCCCAAATGCCCACACAGCCAGGTCTAGGCCAGCCTGAAGCCAGGAGTTGGAAACTCCATCTGGATCTTCCACCTGGGTGGCAGGGACTCCAATATTTGAGCCAGCACCACTGCTTCCCAGGATGCACATTAGCAGAAAGCTGGATGGTAAGCAAAGTATCTGGGACTCGAACCAGGCTCTGTGATATGGGCTCTGAGCATCCACGCAGGGCCTAGCTGCTGTGCCACAACTCCTGCCCCTGGGCCACTTCTTTTAAAACAGAGTTCAAGCACTCTAAATGGATCACTAAGCCCCGGCCTAGCATTATCTCTCTCCACCCCAACGCCACTGTGATATTTTTAAAAATCTTCTTAGCTTTTTCTTGCCTCATGCTTCTCTCTTATAAGGGAATTTCAAAAACATTGTTGGAAGTTGGAATTTTAAAATAATGCACATTTTCCATGAATTTTGTCAAGCCCCAATACACATGTTCCTTCTGCTGAGAACTTCTCCCTCCTCCTTCTTTGCTAAAAATGTTTATTTATGTATTTTTTTTTTTGATTATTGGAAAGGCAGAACAACAGAAAGACAGAAAGAGGTCTTCCACTTGCTGGCTCACTCCCCACGTGCCCACAACAGCTGCAGCTGGACCAGGCACCTGGAACTCCATCAGGGTCTTCCCTGTGGATGTCAGCTACCTGCATCAGCACTGCTGTGCCTCCAGCATGTGCATTAGCAGGAAGGATTGCAGAGCAGCCCGGACTCTCACTTCCCAGCTCTTCAGTCCTTTCTCCTGGGTGACACAGACTATCACATTCACACCAGAAGATAAAAATCGCTACATGGAATGGTGGCAGTATTGGCCATATTATTTAAATTTTTCCCTCCCTATAATGTTTTAAAACTTTTTTTGAGCATCTTTAGTTGATTCCATATAATTCCACTTGTTCATGACAATGGCATTCTCTCTAGAAGTTCAGTACAGACCCCTCCATTTTATTGTCCACTTGCAAATAGACCTTACAAGATTTCCCAATGACTATTGCCTCATAAAAATCACAACAACATTGTAAAGTAGCTACAAATATACTCATTTTTACAGATAAAGAAATTAAGACTCTAAGAGGAAGTGAAAGGACTCCAGTCTAGACATGAAAAGAGCTTGTAAGTCATCACTCCCATCGTTTCAATAACAACAACAACAAAATGGCTGAACAAAATAAAAGAAAAGGAGTGACTTATCTTGGACTCATCAGAGAACTGAAATAGAGGGCAAACTCCCCCCACCAATCTGAACAGATAGGGCATCTAGATAGTCACAGTCAAAATCTGCGTATCTGGAGCTGCTGGATCTCAAGTAGCAAGAACGCTCACATGGTAACTTGAATGACTGGAGGTTCAGCCGTGTACCAGCAGGAGAGTGAGCAACTCTCAGAGACCCCAGTCTTCAAGGCAGGCCAGCCTTTCATGGCGTTCATCTCCTGGAGCCCCGCAAAGTTCCTCAAGTGAATATCAGAGAAAGATCCTCTCGTAGTTCTGGCCAAGTAGGAAAAGAGTAATGCTTGTAAAATATGACCATAACATTTTCTGCAACAAAGACCTACTCTCCAGGAGTAAAAAAAATGTTGCCACAGCCTTACGGCATCGAGGAAAGGGGTATTTATCCTATTCCAGTCCCTTCAATTCTTCTTGTCTTGCCTAAAGAGTAGGGGAAAAAAAAAAAAAAACTCAGAAAAACATAAGTCACTAAAGTCACTAGAGAATATCACACCAAGGAAATACATTGGGAATGCTGTAGTCAGGGATAAAAGCAGGGGCTAGTGGGAAAAACAGCAACATTTTCAGTAAAAACACTTGTAAAGGACATATCCCAAAGACATAGGTCACTAAACCATTGAGATTTCATTAAAAAATTGTAAAACACTACCACTCCCCAACACCTCATCACCACACCAACATGGATCCATTAAGTAATAGTGGATTACAGCTAAAAGAACTGACATGAACTATGAAATAAAGCCCAACAGAAAGACAAAAACAAAGATGCAGGAGAATTTGAAACTTATTGCACCTATAGTTCCAGTGAGCCTAAAACAAAGTCAGCCTGCTAGCCAGAGTAAGATAAATCCTCACACCAAAAACAATTTACTTCTACTCCTATTAACCAATACAACATAATCATCTTTCAACAAAAAATTATAAGGGATGCCAAAACAAAAACACAATCTGAAGAAACAATTCAATCATTAGAACCAGACTGTGATATGACAGAGGTCTTTTCTTTTTTTGTAACAATTTTTTTAAAAAGATTGGCCGGCACTACGGCTCACTTGGCTAATCCTCCACCTGCGGTGCTGGCACCCAGGGTTCTAGTCCCGGTTAGGGCGCCGGATTCTGTCCCGGTTGCTCCTCTTCCAGTCCAGCTCTCTGCTGTGGCCCAGGAGGGCAGTGGAGGATGGCCCAAGTGCTTGGGCCCTGCACCTACATAGGAGACCAGGAGGAGGAGCCTGGCTCCTGGCTTCGGATCGGCAAAGCACAACAGCAGTAGCGGCCATTTAAGGGGTGAACCAACGGAAGGAAATCCTTTCTCTCTGTCTCTCTCTCTCACACTGTCTAACTCTGCCTGTCAATAAATAAATAAATAAAGATTTAAAAAAGATTTATTTATTTGACAGGCAGAGTAACAGAGAGAAAGGAAGGAACAGAGAGAGAGAGAAGGAGATATTCCCTCCATTGGGTCATTCCCAATCCAAAGCCAGGAGCCAGGAACACCACCCAGCATCTCCCATGTGGATGGCAGCAACTCAACTACTTGGACCATAATCTGTCTGCTGCCTCCCAAAGTGTGCATTAGCAAGAAGCCAGATCAGAAGTGGAAGCCCTCTGGTATGGCATGCAGGCATTGCAAGCAGTAGACACAGATCTTTTAACTATCAGGGAGTTTAATGCATTACAGACTGTAATGCAAAAAGTAAGCAACATGCAAGAACAGATGAGCAATGTAAGAGAGAGGTTTAAAAAATCTAAGAGTCACATCAAAATGTTAAAAATAAAAAACTATGTAACAAGAAAATGAAAAATGTCTCTGACTGGTTTCATCAGGAGACTTAACAGAACTGAACAAAGAAACAGTGAGCTTGAAGACAAGTCAATAGAGATACCCCAAATTGAAATACAAAGAGAAAAATTAATGAGAACAAAATGCCAAGCAGAACATCCAAGAGCTGTAGGGAAATTTCAAAATGTACATCATATAAGCAATTGAAATGCTAAAACAGAAGCGGGAAAATTATTAAACTGAACGACTGAGAACTTTCCAGAACTAATGACAGACACTAAACCACAGATCCTGGAAACTCAGAGAACACTAGATGGATAAATACATACAATAACAACAAAATCGCTTAGGAATATCATACTTAAATGGCAGAAAAACACAAAGAGAAAATCTTGAAAGAAGTCACAGGGAAGAAAAACCTTAACCACAGAAGAACAAGATGAAGATTACAGCTGATTTCTCATCAGAAACCATGCAAGCAAAAAAGAGTGAAGTTTCTTGATTTGAATGTGTCCCCTCTAAAATTCAGCTGTTGCCAATGTGATAGTATTAGGAGATGGGGCCTTTAAAAGGCATGTGAGCCAAGAGGGTAGACTTGAGGTTTTTCTTTTTTTTATTTGAAAGGCAGAGTTAGAGAGAGAGAGAGGGAGAGACAGAGAGACACAGAGAGAGAGAGAGACTGTCCATCTGCTGGTTCACACTCCAGATGGCTGCAATAGCTGGAGCTGGGCCATAGTGAAGTCAGGAGCCAGGAACTTCTTCCAGGTCTCCCACATGGGTACAAGAGTCCAAGCGCCTGGGGCCTCTTCCACTATTTTCCCAGGCACATTAAAAGAGGGAGCTGTATTGGAAGTGGAGCACCTGAGACAGGAACCAGCACCATAGGGGATGCTGGCATCACAGGCTTTGGCTTTACCCATTATATCACAACAACAGCCCTTAAGATCTTTTTAAAAGAGGTTTCACACAACATTAACTAACTTGTTTTCATGCTTCTGCCGTGTGAAGATACAGCAAGAAGGCCCTTACCAGACTATATGCTTGGAATTCCCAGCCTATAGAACCATGGGAAATAAACTTCTGTTTTTTATAAGTTACCCAGCCTGTGGTATTCTGTTACAGTAGTAGAAATGGATTAAGACTGAAGTGAACTATTTGAGATGTTGCAAACTTGTCCTACAACAAATGCTAAAAGAAATTCTCCAGGCCTAAGGAAAATGATGTAGATCAGAAACTTGGGAGCTCCATAAAACAATAAAAGGGCATTGGAGGAGGAATAAGTAAAGGTAAAATAAATTAAAATAAAATTGTTTTATTCATATTAATCTTAATTGATGATAACCTTTTAAAATAATAATAGACACAATGTATTCTAGTAAATACAGCATATGACTAAGTGAAACAGAATACAGTCACCAGGTACAGTAGAGAATTTACCTGTTCTTAAGGTGAAATGTTACAGTGTCATTTGAAGGTGGAATTTAGATGATCATATTATGGCACACTCTGGGTAAACCACTTACAAAATCTTTTCAGTATAGTTTGTATGCTAAGAGTGGAGATAAAATGGAATCAATCATACTAAATAATTAAAATCAGAGAAGATAGAAATAGGAGGCAAAGAAGCAAACAATAATACAATGAGAAGAAAACAGTTACAAACACGGTAGATATAAGCCCATTAATATCAACAACCTCTTTACGTCTGAATGGCCTAAATATACCAATTAAAAGACAGAGGTCAGTGTGGATAAAATACAAACAAGGAGGCAGAAAGTGGAAGAGTTCAAGATGGTCTTGGATCCACAATAGATGGGCCTTTTCCAATTTACAAGGGCAACTGGGCATCTCCTTCATTTAAAAAGAAAAAAAAAACAGTCTCAGTCATTGATTTGTATCTGTGGGATACAAATATCTCCTGAGTCAAGCCACCTCCATCTAGACAAAAAAAAAAATAGAGTAAAGATGTGGAATAGTACTAAAGATTCAAAGAGTTGTTGAGATGGTTACAAATTCTCATTTGAAATACATTAAGCTGAAAGTAAGAGAACACTCACTAAATGCTGGCTTAAACATATAAAGTTGTAGATATCTCACTCAAGAAAAAGGACAGTTTCTGGCATGAACTCAGCTTCTCAATAGGGGCCTCAGGGAGCCAAAACATTTCTGCCTTTTCACGCCAGTTCCCTTTGTCTTCAAGTCTGTTGCCTCACAAGGTGGCCCCCATGGTTCTGGGCTTCACATATTATTCAAGGTAGCACAACGGAAGAAAGAGGCACACTAGTAGTATATACCCTTTTATCAGGAAAGTAAGTGTCTTCCCTGAAATTTCCTCAGAAGACACCTGTTTACAACTTACTGTCCAAAACTATAACACTTAATCACCTGTAGCTGCAAGATCGGCTCAGAAAATAAGCATTTTCCTTTTTCAAACTATATATTTATATAAGAGAAGAAAAAGAAAGATATATCAGTCTCATATAGTGCTTACCATCATTTATCAAAGTCAAAAACAGAAAGTCCAATTATCAATCCTTTGTTTCGGTTTTTCTTCTTTTGTTGTATGAACGTTGGGTATCCCAAAAAGAAAAGTTATGTTCAATGAAGACTCACTAGATAAGCCACAAATGTGCTTAAAACTTCATCTACCCTTGTCCTTCAGTTCCTAACATGAATTGATGGCTCCATTCTAGCTTATATTTGGTTTCCATGACTGTGATATACATTTCAAGTGAAAAGCATAGAATTTTCTAAATGTGTAGTGCAAATTATAGTAAAATCCCTCTAGATTTTGTATACAAGAGGTTAAGTTATTTCACTCTAAGCTGGCTTGGGGCCCTTAGTGTAGAACACCAAGCCAGGAGTCAGAGAGAACATTCTCAGATGCAAATGGCTGGAAACCCAGATTTCTTAAACAATAAAAGGAGTTTCTTGGTTTCGAAAGAGGTTGATCCAGTGATTTAACAATGTCACCAAGGATGTTGTTTTGTTTTGTTCTTTTTCCATCTGTCTTTTCTACCATGGATGACATCAACTTCGCCCTAAGGCCGCATTGCCTCATGCTCACGAGATGGCTGCCAACAACTGCAGAACTAAAGATTTGCTCAAGTACATATGAAATTTTTAAAAAGATATGGAATCATCTTGCCCTTATTAGGCCATTTAGTTTGCTCCAAACATTCACGTTGCTGTCACATGTCACCAAGTGGTCACATGCTCTCCCTGGAATACTACAATGACAATAAGAGCACAGCGATCTGATTGGTGTCAGCCAACAAAGGCACATCCCTGAAGCTAGGGATGGGACCCGTCCTACCCAAAGCACAACCACAGAGCACCACAGTGGGAGAGAGCTGGCGTCCTGGGATGCTGGGAGGCAGCCACGATTTCCACTAGAGCTGGATTTCTGCATTGCTTCTTTGCCATCCATGAACATGTGAACCTTGGAGCCCTCCTCTATAACATAAATACTAAGACCTGCTCAACTCACCCCTTTTGGGGGCTCACAATATTTAAAGAGACAATATAAATGGCAGTACCTGGTAAGCTAGGTGCTTAAAAACATAAATTAGCTTTGGATAAATTTCTAGTATAATTGAGCAGCCACTGTCAGTGACCCATCCAGGTCCACTTGGCCTTTACCTCTCTGCTTGCACCACCCAACCTCCAATTACAGGCATTATGTCCCGATGTTTAAGGCTTTTCTTTCAGCACTGGCCTTCTCTATCCATGCAGGAATCAGGTGACAAATGCTGGGAAATTAACATTCTTCTCCCCAGTCCAAGGACAGACAGACCAGCCTGTGACTGACAGGTTAGGGAGCCATTCCTTGCTCCCCACGTTGGGTAATTCTGAGGCACATTTCCCAGAAGTGTGGCACAGCATGCTTCAGCTCACAGACTCCACAATGGTAAACTTGTATGGGCTTTCATCGTTCCCGGCCCTGCTTCCTGGGACAACCTCCCAAACCAACATCTTGCACCCATATCCTAGTCTCAGGCTCAGCTTCTGAATCCAAGTAAGGGCGACATCAAACCAGCATCGTGTGGATATGAGAATGTTCACTTGGCAAGAAAAGCCTGTTCCAGACGTTATATTTCAAAACACATTCGATGGTTCTTTCAAAGTTATTTCTGTGTGAGTTTTCATTTTTCAATGTATGGCATACCTTTGTTCCTAATTAATTCATTATGTTACTGGGCTAACTGAGGGGTCAAGCATGGCCTGCCTCCAGAGAAAGATAAAAAGCAAGCAATGGTACCCAGATGTATTTCTCACCAAGTCCTGTCCTGAAGATAGATAATACTATTAGAACATAGGCCCTACAATTAGCACATTTATCAGAAAAATATACAGTAGGCTGTGATAAATTTTCATGTTTAAAGACAAAAGGGAAAAATATGTTCACAATGCATTAATTTAGACATTTTTTGTAAGTTTCATTTTGCACTGACTTCATTTCTGTTGTGACCAAGCTACTAAACTATGCCAAACCTGTCATTTCATTTATGCTCAAAAAAAAAAAAGATGGGCTCTTATGGGAGCATTTTGAAAGAATGATTTATTTTTAAGCCATGTCACAAGGCTGCATACAAGTATTATAAAGTCAATGTCTTGCTATATTTGTTTTCTAGTTTTATGATTGAAATCAAAGTAGATTTAAATCTAAACTTTACCACAGGATCTTTGCACTTGCCAGCCCCTCAATGTAAAGTGCATACCTCTACATGGCTAGTACTTCCTCATAATTTGGATGGGAGAAAGATCATCCTCTATTTAAAATTGTGCTGTCCAACTTGGCAGCCACTAGCCACTTGTGAATGGCAAACACTTGGGAGGTGCCATATTTACAAGACAGGCCTGATTTTGAAAATTTAGTACAATAAAAAATGTAAAACATTTCATTTATATTTTTATACTTATCACATATTGAAGTGATATTTTGGACACATTGAGTTAAAATAAGTCATTGAAATTGATTTTACCAGTGTATTACTTTTCTTGATGTGGCTAGCAGAGCAATCTTAAAATACATATTAGTCTCATATTTGTGGGCCTCACAATATTTCCTTTGTTCAGTGCTGACCTAAAGTGACCCCAAACCAACCTCACTGCACTTTTTGTCATCAATATACTTTACTACCTGTAACTAAACAAGTAAATTACCAATTGTTTACTAGTATACTATAAATTTCCGGGATCTTGTCAGCCATGTTCCCATAGGCATCTGGCATACAGTAAAGTCAAAAACACACGTGATAAAATAGATGATGTAATAAACGAATGAGGGTACTATGAGCTCTTTCTGAGGTTATTAACCACATTCTTCAGTTTTGCCCTCCATTCCCCCACTCATTTGAGTGTTCATTAGGTTAATGAGCAAGACCACATTTCCCTGCAGGGAGAGGAGGGGTAGTTACACAAAAGAAACAGAACTTGCCCTCTGCCCATAACTGAATGTGGTTTTCTTTATGACATCACAGTCAGAAATGGAAGACTATTTATTTCATATGAAAAAAAAAAAATGAGCAACCTACCTAAAAAAGATCTAGTCACCAAAGATGTTGCTGGTTCTTAAAGAACCAAAGACTCAGTAACTAAGATGGTTGACTAGGATCAAAGACTCTTTAACTGACCTTCTGCCTAGCCAGCAATCATTACAACTATCAAGAAACGTGAGGTATTACAGTGGGCTAGAAGTCATCATTAATTGCTGGCCTCTGAGTCCCATAACTGCCATTAAATGGCTAACAGTGTTATATAAGTGATATAATTAGCTTCACAGTTGACAGCCTCATTAAGGTGAATGGGAAAGTTCACACTCCACTCGCAACTATTATTTTTAGATTTGCCTGTCTAGAGACACAAAGACTTTGTCCAGACAAATCAGAATCTACTTCCACTTTGCCCTGGATTGGCTCTGTCCTATGCAGAAAATGAATGGCCCAGGACTGGGCAACCGCAGTGCTTTAAAAGTCCCATGACAAATCGTACTTTCCCCCACATTGTCCTAGAATAGAGATCTCTATACTCAAAGGAAAGAAAAAGTATGCAGTTTTAAACTTATGTCCCAATTGCCTAGGATTCAAATTCTACCCTGGCCAGTGATTTACAAAAATGCTTTAAATAATTTTTTAACCTCTGTCCATACCTGCTGCCTGAATTGAGATATTCTCACTGCTAACTACTTTGACTACAATGAAGAAAAGTGTTAGATTTTCATGGACATTCTATAATAATAATTCTGCCTTTTCTAAGGCACTAATTTCTTTGAAAGAATAAATTTAAACTTATCATCTATCAAGAATATAAGTAGCAAAGTCTCTCTGGGGTTTTCTGTGTTTGTCAAAAGCCTGGACAGTTTCAATAGTCAATACTCCAGTATTACTTCAATATTACTCTCCATGTTATAAATATGCAGTGATTTGAGAACATACAGATATGTGTGTGTGTGTATATATATTCATTATCATTAAGAACACCATCTTAGTTCCAGCTGTTTTAAGGAAGTACCAAAGGCTGAGTGGCTTACAGTTCTGGAGGCTGAAATCCCTGCGGGCAGGATGGTACTCCCATGAAGGTCACCTTTTGGATTACACATTGCTGACTTCCCAGCATGCCCTAATACGGCAGAAAGAAAGAGTAAGGAACTTCTTTGGGATTCCTTTTATAGCAACATGAATCCCATTCTTGAGGGCTCTACTCTCCTGACCTTACCACTTCAAAACCAGTATCTCCTAATACTATCCTATTGGGTACTTCACAAAGTTCATGGTAAAATGAAATTAAAAATAAAATAAGTTTCTTTTGGTGTGAAAAAATTTTGAAATTCATGCATAGTTCTTTTATAATGTACATTTTCCATGAACTATTTGAGGGCCCTTTATGTGCATGGATTTCAGACTTTCTGCCCCAAAATAAACTTAGCCTTTTAAAACTGTTTTCTCACAAACTTTCTGAAGTACGCTTGATTGAATTTTGAGGAAGACATAACCATGCAATCCATCACAAACATTCAACATCAGATCTACCCTCTTAAAAATCTGCAAATGAATAACAATACAGTACTGTTAACTATAGGCAAAGAAATGTCTAGGTTATTAACTATATCCTTCAGTTGTTAATTGGTTGCTTGTATGTGGATGTGACTTGATAAAAGACACTCTGTTTTTCTGCCTCTTATCTAAATACCTGTAATTGACACCACTGCTGTTTATTTTTTGGTTTTCTGGGCCATTAATTTGTACTTCATCCCACAAACATATTTATCACTGTCCTTTTAATTTGTAAGATGCTTCTATTTGAATAACAACATTTATCACCCTTCCTTCCTTCTTACTCTTTTCTTCTTCCCCTTTTCCCTCTCTTGTTCCATGCACTCGAAAAGTAGTTAGTATGCTTCTACAATGAATTAAGACCCCACAGTGGGTGCCAGCGCTGTGGCATAGCGAGTGGAGTTGCTGCTTGCAATGCCAGGATCCAATATGATCGCCGGTTCGAATCCCAGTTGCTCCACTTCTGATCCAGCTCTCTGCTATGTTTTAGGAAGCAGTGGAAGATGGTCCATGTTCTTGGGCCCCTGCACCCATGTGGGAGACCCAGAAAAGCTCCTGGCTCCTGGCTTCAGATCAGCCCAGCTCCAGCCATTGCAGCCATTTGGGGAGTGAACCAGAGGACAGAAGACCTCTCTCTGTCTCTGCCTCTGCATCTCTGTAACTCTGCCTTTCAAATAAATAAATAAATCTTTGAAAAAAAAAAAAAAAACGCAGTGAATGCAACAGATTTGGATTCTCCCCTTCACAAAGCTTCCTTAGTGAAAGAGACAAACATGAGCCTATTCATCCCCCTTCCCCCCATCTTTTATTTGAAAGGCAGAGTTACAGAGAGAGAGAAAATCTTCCATCTGCTGGTTCACTCCCCAAATGGGTGCAACAGCTTGAGAGTAGGCCAGGCTGAAGCAAGGAGCCTGGAGCTTCGTCCAGGTGTCTCATATGGGTAACAGGAGCCCAAACACTTGGGAAAAGTAAAGCAGCTTCTGCCACTTTTCCAGGCACATTAGCAGGGAGCTATATTGGAAGTGGAGCAGCCGGGTCTCAAACAGGCACCCTCATGGGCTGCCAGCATGACAGGCCAAGACTTAACTTGCTATGCCACAGTGCAGGCTGCTTATCATGTCTCTATCCTCCAGAAGCAAGCCTCTGGACAGCAAGGGCCACTTTTCATCCTGCAGTACAAACAAGAGTCTCAGGAACGCTTCTTCAAACCAGTGTCCTACCGGAGAAGTGAATATTTATGTTCAAAACTGACTTTGTGCATTTGCTTCTAGGACTCTGATTAAAGCTTCAGTGAACAGGAGCAGGCATTCAGCATAGCAGTCAAGATGCCACTTGGGACACCCGCATACTATGCAGAACAGAGTGCCTGGGTTTGAGTCCTGGCTCCGCTTCTAATTCCAGCTTCCTGCTTGTGTACACCTTGGTAGGCAGCAGATGATGGCTCAAGTGCTTGGGTCTTTGTCACCTATGTGGGAGACCCAGATGGAGTTGCAGGCTCCTGGCTGCAGCCACAGGCACTTGAGAAGTGGACCAGCATGTGGAAGATCTCACTCCCCACCCCATCCTCTCTCTCACAGGCGCGCGCTCTCTCTCTCTGCCTTTCTAATAAAATACAGTAAAATAAAAATAAAAGGTTTTCAGTGAAGACTTGAATCCTAAACCAAAGCAATGAAGTGAGCAGAGTGTGCTCATGATGTCAAAATGGTGCCCAGATCTGGGGGATTACAAGTCAAGTCAGTGCTTGTGCTTTGGTTTCATGATTCTGCTCCTTCAAAGGGGGGCTGGGCTGTGCTGGAGATGCACTCCTTGAACAGCGTTGACTTCACACTTCCTGGGCCAGTCCTGAGGCCTGTACACTTACATAGCCTCTCTATAACAGTTACGAAACTCAATTAATAACCATGAATTTATCCTAACCAGACTGTTTCAAACTAAAGCTTCTCTCTTCAAAATGATTCCAAATAGGTAAAGCAGCAAGTATATCCTGGTATACATAGATTGGAGTTGATTTCCCCAAACTCAAAAAACAGATTAACTTAAGTATTCAAAAGAGCATTTTGAAGTAGTTGCATTGACTTATGTAACTACTTCCCTCATCATCTCCAAAATCAAATTGACAATGACAACCTAAGACATGACCTGCAGAAATGAAGAAAGAATAAATGTAAATTGTCAATGACAAAGGTCATTTGTGTGATTATCCCTGAAGAGTAAACGGATCTTCCTTTGGACACTGTGGGTGGTTCGTTGTCTACCACCTGGGGAAAAGCAGTAAGTAAGAACCTGATTTGGTTGTTTTATCATAAATTCACTTGCCTTCATCGATCTAAATCTAGTTTGTAGTTTAAAAATTTTTTTAAATGGGAAATAAAACAAAACTGAAAAACACCAGTAGAATGTGCAGAAATGGAAAAGGACATTTGTTCTAAATTCCCAACTAATCTGGATTATGTTACGAAAGGCAGCTCCCCTGCCCCCCAGTGAGGGGGGAGGAGTTAGGAGAGAGCTTCATTAGCCATAATGATAATTGCATGCATTTCAAAGAGGCTTTTATCCCCAAGGCTTGAAGTGCTCTATAAACATTAATTAATTTAAGCTCAGTAGCCCAGTATCATTAGGCCTTTTGTAAGGAAGAGTAAACAGACGTGCACAGAAGTTAAGTGGTTTCACCAGGCTCATTCAGCCGGGGCCCCAGCAGAGCTGTGAACGAAATCCAGTCTGAGTAATGGCCTCCAAGGCCAGTCACAGAACAAGGTGGAGAGGGACCAAGAAAGAGATACTGCAAAGTGGGGAAAGGTGAAGAAATACCTAAAATTTAAGCAGGATAACAGGTAAGCAGTACAACATGGCCAGTAAGATGCCCCTCGGGGTGTACAAGGTAACTATGTTCATCTTCCCAACGTGTGCTTCTCCAGATAGGACTTTTCAGACCTGAGTGTGCAGCCAAATCAACTGGGGAACCTGATCCAGCAGGTGAGGCCTGCGCATATTCACAGCTGAGCAGTCTCCCAAGTAACAAGGATGCTCACAGTGGACACGTTGCCTGAAGGTTGCCTGTGTTGTTTCCTTTATTGCTTTTTTTTCAAACTCTGTTCTTCCTGACCTTTTTCGATGCCCAGTGTTACCTTTCCATTATAACCCCCCACCCATTTTTTAAATTGAGGTATGATGGTTATAGGAGGAAGCAGCAAGTCTTAAGAGTTCAGTGCCATTTTTTTTTCTTTTTCTTAAGCAATTTTTTTTTTCAAACAGACCCATTAAATTGTACGTATTTATAAGGCTCCATGTGACGTTTCTATCTCTGACAGTTGGAAGCACAGTTAGGAACATACTGTGCCGCAAATGTCATGCTGGAATCCCACTTCAGTGCCCTTTGATTCCAGCAAGGAGACACTGCCAGTCCTTGGAGCAGGTCTGCCTTGGCTCTGACGACAGAGGGAAATTCACTTCCTGATATTTCTTATTCGGTATTTATATTTGCTTTTCTCAGCCTTTCCCTAAAAAGAGAAAGTGCTAAACTAAAAAAAAAAAAAATTAAAGAGATACTAGAAGGAGAGAAGTATGTATTGTACTGTATTATATTGTATTGCATTGTATTGTATTATTTATTTATTTGAAAGGCAGAGTTACAAAAAGAGAGAGAGACAGAGAGAGAGATTTTCCATCTGCTCATTCACTCCCCAAATGGTCGCAACGGTCAGGGCCTAGCCAGGTTGAAGCTAGGAGTCTGGAACTCCATCCAGGTTTCCCAGGTGGGTGACAGGGCCTCAAGCACTTGGACCATCTTCTGCTGACTTCCCAGGTGCATCAGCAGGGAGCTGGATAGAAAGTGGAACAGCAGGGACTCAAAGCAGTCTTCATACGGGATGACTGCACCAGCAGCTTAACCTGCTACGCCACAATGCCGGCCCCACACAATAATTTTTTTCCATTTCAATTTTGACTTTTATTTATTAATTTATTAAAGATTTATATATTTATTTGAAAGACAGAGTTACAGAGAGAGAGAGCTCTTCCATCTGCTGGTTCACTCCTCAAATGGCAGCAACAGCTGAGCTGGGCTGGGGCAAAGCTGGGGGCTTGGAATTCCATCCAGGTTTCACACTTGGGCGGCAGGGGCCGGAAAACATTTGGCCTATCCTCCTCTGCTTTCCCAGGGGCATCAGCAGGGAGCTGGATCAGAGTGGAGCAGCCAGGATTTGAAACAGTGCTCATACAGGATGACAGCATCATACGCAGTGGCTTAACCTGCCGTCCCACAACACTGGCCCCCAATTTGACTTTTAAAATCTAAGTTGGGCCGGCGCCGTGGCTCAATAGGCTAAACCTCCACCTTGCGGCGCCGGCACACCGGGTTCTAGTCCCGGTCGGGGCGCTGGATTCTGTCCCGGTTGCCCCTCTTCCAAGCCAGCTCTCTGCTATGGCCCGGGAGGGCAGTGGAGGATGGCCCAAGTGCTTGGGCCCTGCACCCGCATGGGAGACCAGGAGAAGCACCTGGCTCTTGGCTTCGGATCAGCGCGATGTGCCGGCTGCAGCGTGCCGGCCGCAGCGGCCATTGGAGGGTGAACCAATGGCAAAAAGGAAGACTTTTCTGTCTCTCTCTCACTGTCCACTCTGCCTGTCAAAAATTAAAAAAAAAAAAATCTAAGTTGATGCTGCTAAAATGATACTAAAAGATTCCATTTTACACAGCAGCAGTTTCAGAACCTGATTCTGGCGTGCTGCTGCACCATTTTTTCCATGGAAATAAATAGCTTTCTACTACTGTATCCTTCAAGGAGAAGAATGTTCTGCCAATTTGACCACAAGTTCTTCACACATTAGAGTTACGTTTTAGCAAACTCTTCATTCATTCTGGCATTCTTGAAAATATTCACCAAGCAAAGAGGCAGATTCAACGGCATGTCCCTTAGGCTCTTTAAATGCTAAGTCTTCATCATACTGAATGGCCAAATCAATATGCTGTAACAATGTTCATGCGTTCTTCATCTGACTGATCATACGGTAAAAATCAAACCATGTTGCAGCCATCTCTCAGTCTACATATAGCATTAGTCAATTTTTGGAACTGGTTGCTTCTTACGTCACTTGTAGGATCTAGAAACTTCTCCTTCCTCAGCAGATCCATCTTTGCCATGATGTCAATCTGTGGCATTTCTAGAGAGATCGTGGCACTCAGGGCAGCCAAGATGCCGGAAATAAATTTGAATGACTCCACCATGAACTAAGAATCAGGAAGAAAAACTCCACAGACTCGGAACTCCCACTGCTCGAGCTGCTGGACCGGCTGCTTCATCACAGGCGAGTGTACAACTCGGTGTGACCTGCACAGTCAAAAAGGACGTAAGTCGTCTTCTACATGGCCAAGACGTGCTCTAGCCAGTTAAAATTATTGGCAAAGTGCTCCATGCAAACTACCAATCCTCCAGTGGGACCGAACTGCAAGGAATCATCCTCCGTCACATCGTCCACCTCAATCAGTTCCCGACTGTCTTCCTGCTGCCGGCGGGGCGCACGACCAGCTGCGCGTACCGAGGCATGCCGACTCTCCGGCTTCCCCACACACGGTAGTTTATTTTGTACTTTATGAGAAAATAGAAGCGAGGAGCTTCAAGTTTCCTAATACAAGCATTGACATGGAGAGAGAATCACTGATTACTCTATTGGGTGATACACATTTTACACATGTATGGAAATATCACACTGTAATCATAAATAAGTACAATGATTAAGTGTCAATAAAAAAAAAAATTTTAAAGATTGTTTAAGAGCTGGAAATGCTGACTACCCTAATCTGATCATTACACATTGAATGCATGTACAGAATTATCACGCAACATACTATAAAAGCATACAATTGAAATAATAATTTTTTAAAGATTTATTTATTTATTTGAAAGGCAGAGTTACAGAGAGGCAGAGGCATGCGTCCTGGCATGGGCTTGGCCCAGCTCTATCTGTTATGATCATTTGGGAAGCGAACCAGTGGATGAATGGAATCTCTCTTTTTCTTCTCCTCCTCTAACTCTGCCTTTCAAATGAAATAAATAAAATCTTTTTTTATTTTTTGACAGGGAGAGTGGACAGTGAGAGAGAGAGAGACAGAGAGAAAGGTCTTCCTTTTGCCGTTGGTTCACCCTCCAACGGCCACCACGGCTGGCGCACTGTGGCCAGTGCACCGCGCTGATCCGATGGCAGGAGCCAGGTACTTATCCTGGTCTCCCATGGGGTGCAGGGCCCAAGCACTTGGGCCATCCTCCACTGCACTCCCTGGCCACAGCAGAGAGCTGGCCTGGAAGAGGGGCAACCGGGACAGAATCCAGCGCCCCGACCGGGACTAGAACCCGGTGTGCCGGCACCGCAAGGCGGAGGATTAGCCTAGTGAGCCACGGCGCCGGCTAATAAAATCTTTTTAAATACGCACATACATACATACATACATACACACACACACACTCAAATCTCACAGGTCGGTACCTCCGTCTGCAGCTTACCAAGATGGCTCACTGTAACACACAAAGGGTATTATAAACGTGCATTCAATGAGCTTCACTGGACTCCCTGAGTTCATGAAAAATGTCTATTTTACCATTTGAATTCTGCAAAAGGTCTGTTTTACCAGATTTCTCATTAATAAGCAGTTACTGGGGCAGGCATTTGACCTAGCCATTTGATGCCTACATCCCATATTGGAGTACCTGGGTTCAATTTCCAACTCTGGCTCCTGACTCCAGCTTCCTGCTAACATAGACCCCAGGAGGCAGCAGTGATGGCTCAAGTAGCTGGATCCTTGCCACCCAGGTGGTAGACCAGGACTGAGTTTTCAGCTTTGGCCCTTGTCCAGTCCTAGCCATTGTGGGCATCTGGAGAGCAAACCAGTGGGTGGAAGCTCTCTGTAAATCTGTCTCTCTCTACCTATCGAATAAATGACTAAAAAAGTGTTTTTCTTTCTTTTTTTTAAATTTTTTGACAGGCAGAGTGGACAGTGAGAGAGAGAGACAGAGAGAAAGGTCTTCCTTTGCCATTGGTTCATCCTCCAATGGCTGCCGTGGCTGACGCACTGCAGCCAGCGCACCACGCTGATCCGAAGGCAGGAGCCAGGTACTTATCCTGGTCTCCCATGGGGTGCAGGACCCAAGCACTTGGGCCATCCTCCACTGCACTCCCTGGCCACAGCAGAGAGCTGGCCTGGAAGAGAGGCAACCGGGACAGAATCCGGCGCCCCGACTGGGACTAGAACCCGGTGTGCTGGCACCGCAAGGCGGAGGATCAGCCTAGTGAGCCGTGGCGCCGGCCTCTTTTTTTTTTTTTTTTTTTTTTTTAAAAAAGCAGCTACTAAGAATAAAGTACATGCATTATAACTAGATGCCAGGGGTTGGGAAAAACAAATAATGTGCATTGGATGTTACCCAGTCACTGTTCCAGATCTTGTATTAACTGAATTAAAGCATGCAACAGCAATGTAAGTAAACAGTATTATTATCCCCACTTTATGAGCACACAGAGGATTAGTAGGTTGATAATGCCATGATTTGAACTGCCTCTATAAAGTGAATGTAAAGAAACTGTAATTAGGATAAATTAGGGGCCAGTATTGGGTGCAGCAGCTTAAGCTGCCACATGGAATGCCAGCATCCCATGAGAGTGCCCATTTGAGCACACTCCTGGCTGGTCTACTTCTGATCCATCCCTACTAATGTTCCTGGGAAAGCAGTAGAAGACGACCCATGAGCTTGGGTCCCTGCACCCACATGGGAGACCCGTTGGAGTTCCAGGTTCCTGGCTTCAGCCTGGCCCAGCTCCAGCTATTGCAGTCATTTGAGGAGTAAACCAGCTGATGAAAGATTCTCTCTCTTTCTCTGTCTCTCTCTCCCTCCCTCCCTTCCTCTTCTTGTAACTCTAACTTTCAAATAAATCTTTAAAATATAAAGATAAATTAAAATGAAGTAAAATATCTGTTTTCAGCAATCTTACAAGATGACCCAAGCAGATGTATCTATTTCATACACAATCACCCATCTCAAAGCTCAGGATCAAACTTTAGGATCTTGTTTAGATGCTGGAAGGTTCTGCATTTCCAACTGCCTCAATGCATTTGAAATTAGAGTCTGTCCTAATAAAATGTAACTCCATGTATATAAAACAAAATTAAACTAAAATATTAAAAAAGAAATTATTTGATTCTGTTTGCATGATAAATAGCTGCATTTTTAATTAGCAGTGATTTAGCACACATTTTTTATAGCCCATGCCTATTTTCCTTCATGCCACAACTTGCAGAGAATTACGTTATAAAAATAGTTTATATGCCCATAAAAACCACAAGCTCTGCTAAATGGAAAACAAAGAAGGTAATTTGTACTGTCAAACCATCTCTTTAAACTTCAGAAAAGGGATAGGGCCAAGAGTGATTCGGAGTAAGAAATTAAGAAACTCTAAGGAGAAGCTCATATTTTAAAAGCATTTCTGACCCAAATCTTTAAATCCATTCTGAAACCAAAATACATGGGTTGTCTCCAAGGGAATAAAGTGTTTGTTCAAATGCTTGTCACATGTGTTCACACCAAAAACAGTTTTGTAAGATCATTTCATATAAAACTTAAAAATGTCACATGACCTCTCAGAATCCTCATGAATATAATAACTCAAATAATATGACTCTATCATCTATATGTTTCAAGACAGACTTAATCAGCCTTTTGAGCACTGATTGCTTTTGGGTTCCCAAAAGGTTCCTGTAATTTTGAAACATCTTAGTTCGAAATCTAAAACAACCTCATCACTTTCACAGCAGAATTCCCTGCCTTTGATGGGAAGCCAGCGAGGGAGACTCAGTTGCTGTTTTGCCTGCTGAGCCACTTTGGTTCAATTATTTTACATCTCGAGCTCACAGTTTCCCTCTGCCATTTTCAAGATTACTTGACGGAGCTTTCAAGGGCCCATTTTGTCCACCTTTGTAATAGAATTCTCCCCTTGGGCACAGATATATTGCTGGGGCCTCCTTAGTAATTTTAACAGGGTGTTGTGCAAAAGGATATTTATTTGGTGTGGTCAAAGTGTGGGGAAAATACCATTTTAATGGTGAGTTAGTATTTTCTTCCCAATTGGAATAAATCCATTTCAGATTTGGCATAGGGTAGCTGGCAATGGAACTGTTTTCAGATAGAATAGGGGCCAAATGTATCTGAAAACAGTGAGGGCACCTTCACCCATCCAGCACCACCACCGCCAGCCCTTTGAGAATGGAAGGAGAAACAGAACAGACCTTCTAGAAAATGTACGGCACAGCCCGCCGGGTCCAGCCTTGCCTGCAAGAGGGAGCTCAAGGGTAGACCTTGTGGAGTATCTGTGCTGTCTTCTGCCCAAAAGGAGTTACACATTTTCTGAAAAGATCAAATACTGAACTTTGGAGACATAAGTCAGACAAATCGCTCCTATGCTTATCTTTCGTCTTTTTGCTGTCGCTCCATCTTTAAGATAAATACAAACGCCCTAGGGAGCTGGCTCACACCCACCTCTCCAAGCACACACACACACACACACACACACACACACCCTGCCATGTGCTTCTTCTCAGTCCAGCAGTGCAAGCCTCATTTCTATGCCTGGCACATCCCAAGCCCTTTCCTATCCCTAGGACTGTTTGTAAGTAATGAATATTTTACCTGAAACTCTCTTCTAACATATCCCCCTTCAACTCAGGTCTTTGTCCATGCCTCTCCTTATTCTCTGTCCGGCAGACTAAAACAGCACCATTAACTGCTGCCCTTTATTTCTCCCAGTTCTGAAAGCAAGGAGTCCAAGACCAAAGTTTTGGCTGGTTCCATGTGCCACGAGGCTGTCTTCTCGCTTCTCTGCTGCTCTTGCACACCGCAAAGAGGAGGCAAGTTCTTGCCTCCCTCTTCTTACTAATCCCAAATCCCATTCATGAGGGTTCCACCCTGGTAACTTAATCAACTCCAAAGCCATCCCACTGGGCACTGGGGCTTCAGCCTATGAACTGGGGGGAACAGTGCATAGCCAACTCTTTGCCAAATTATCAAAAATGGAAGGGGGGAATGACCGTGAGAGGGAAGGGACCAAGATGCAGAGTTAATGGGCAGGTTAGCGTTTGGGGAAACTGAGGTCCATTCCCTCTGAGGATCCTCTAGGAGACTGCAGAACATACCAACTGTTAGACCAACAAGGAAGGAAATCAGGGTATTGACCGGACATACATGCCTGTCGTCAGTTCAGCAGTGGTCTCACAGCAACCAGCAGGGTGGGAACAGGGAAGTAATCTTATGGCCTGAGAACCCCCTCAGGTAGAGTCACAGGTGATCAGCATGGGGGAGCCTTGCATCTCTCAGTGTGGCCAAGGTGATAAAGGACATTGGCAGGGTCTGTTAAGCTACTTGATGGCCCTGTGAGGAGCTGGTACTGCAGTTCCCAGTGGACTAAATGTGTGGACAGCTTTCCTGGAAATCTGCCAGTCTGCAACTGAGGCATTTTGGCTCAGGCCCCAGCTCCTGCTCTAACTCACGGCACCTGCTTGAGAGGCATTTTCCTTCTCTGAGGTTGTTTCCTTGATTTTCAATTGGGGATTTATTTTCAAGGAGTGGCATGCAAATTTCAGAGGGTTCAGAAGATAAAGTTAGGTAATAAGTGCATAGGCTGGTGATTTTAATTTCAAGGATTATATATTTTTATTAGACAGGGCAACTCTAGCTGCTGAAACAAATACCTGTGAATTTTCAGTGGCTTAACATAATAAGTGTGATTTTTTTGCCAGTGCAGGCTTGTGGAGCAGGAAGGAAGGAGGCTTCTGACCTACAAGGTCATTCAAGAAATCAATGTTCCTTCTCTGCACTGACTGCCATTTCAAAAGACCCTAGAGTTTTAAACTGTATTGTTTGCATCCAACCAGCAGAAAAGAAGAGGGAGATGGAGAGGAAGCAGAGGGAGAGAGAAAGGGAGGGGACAGAGGGAACAGGGAGGGGATGGAACAGAGGGGAGGGGGAGATGGGAGAGAGAGAGAGAAAGGAAGGAAAGGAAGAGGTAAGAAGGAGAGGGAAGAAGGGAGAGGAATGGGGGAAAAGGGGGGGAGGATAGCCTGGAATACTTCAGGAACCAGGTCTAGAAATGAATAAGTTGGTTCTAGAATTCAGTCACATTACCTCACCTAGCTGGGAAATGCAGTTCTTCCATATGCCCAAAAATAACAAACAGTTTGGTGAATCCACACCTAGAATGATCTTGTCCCACAAAGCTAAAATTGTTTCCTATCAGAGTTATAGGGGAAAAAAATGCTGGCTGCTACTAAACTTCCTCCACAACACTAGAAGCTTTTGTTCACAAACTGGTGACAATGAGTAGAGTTTTGGCAGAAATAACGCCAATGTAGAAGCAACACAACATACTTTTTTTATTATTATCATTCCTAAGCATACAGAAATCTCCATATCTGGGCAGGCGCCACGGCTCACTTGGCTAATCCTCTGCCTGTGGCGCCGTCACCTGGGGTTCTAGTCCCAGTCGGGGTGCCGGATTCTGTCCCGGTTGCTCCTCTTCCAGGCCAGCTCTCTGCTGTGGCCCGGGAGGGTAGTGGAGGATGGCCCAAGTGCACCCACATGGGAGACCAGGAGGAAGCACCTGGCTCCTGGCTTCGGATCAGCGCAGTGCGCCGGCCATAGTGGCCATTTGAGGGGTGAACCAATGGAAGGAAGACCTTTCTCTCTGCCTCTCTCTCACTGCCTATAACTCTCTCTCTGTCTCTTTCACTGTCTAACTCTGCCGGTCAAAAAAAAAATCTCCATTTCCCAGCTGTTCTTGAGGTTGGATGCTGCCCTGCAACTGAGTGCTGGCCAATGGCATGTGGTCCAGTCCTTAAAATACCCTGAGCAACCCTCAATATACTCTTTTCCTCTTCCTTTGTCTGCTAGATGAATGTTCTAGAACACGTATACCCACTAAACAAAAGAAGTCTGGGTCCCTTAATCAAAGGAATGATGTCTTATGAATACCTTTAAATACTGAAAATATCATTGCATAAGCAAGAAATGAACTTTTATTGTGTTAAGCCATTGAGTTTTGGGAGTGGGAAGGTGTTCTTTAAAAACAGCCAGTGTTGGGGCCGGTGCTCTGGCGTAGTGGGTTAAAGCCCCAACCTGCAGCGCTGGCATCCCATATGAGCGATGGTTTGAGTCATGGCTGCTCCTCTTCTGATCTAGCTCTCTGCTATGGCCTGGGAAAGCAGTAGAAGATGGCCCAAGTCCTTGGGCCCCTGCGCCCACATGGGAGACTTGGAAGAAGCTTCTGGTTCCTGGCTTTGGATCAGCTCAGTTCTGGCCATTGCAGTCATCTGGGGAGTGAACCAGCACAATGGAAGACTGGCCTCTCTGGCTCAACCTCTCTCTGTAACTGTCTTTCAAATAAATAAAATAAATATTAAAAAAAAAAACCAGCCAGTGTTGCTTTCCCTGACTGACATGAGTACGAAAGTGAAGTCTCAGTATAGCCACACCTGACACCACCATCACATGCTGCTTATTCCCAGAAACACACACGCCCACCAAAGTGTGAGAATGGTTTATCCTTCAGTCTTTCCGAGTAACCAAAACATGCTTTTAAAATATTATTTGCCTCTTGGGGTCCCAAAAAAGGAAATTTGTTTGCCCTTAATTATGGATAAAAGCCAACAGTTATTTACTGAACTGCAATGTCAGAACCAAGTTAGACAGCAGGTAAATAAAGAATCCCAAACTTTATAACAACCATCCCAAATTTGAGGTCCAAATACATAAACAGCTTTTTCATGTTCATTCTTCCACAAGGCTCTTTCTCATTTAACTTTCATCATCCTGTTTAGAGTTTACAAGTGAGAATCTTCAGATTTCAGTTTGGACACATCTGGTTCACAAATGAGGCCCTACACCCTCCTCAGTCATTGTGAAATCTTTGCCACAAGCATGGATGATGAGATCTTGTGTTTATTAGTAAAGATGTTAGAGCCAGTCAGTCGCAAAGCTATTTGGAGTGGAGATGTCTCTGATGTGGCATCTTAGAGGTGTTATTTTGATCTTTCTCTGCTGAAGAACTGCTGCATTAAATTCTCCTCTGAATGTAAACTAACCAGTATAGCTTTCTTTAAGATGCAATCTTACCTGGAGTTGCAGAAAATATTTCAATTTCTTTTAATTGTTAAAAGAGTGAACATTCCTGGCCTGTTGGTTTTTTTCTTTATTTGAGCTCTTTTAAATCTTAAGGTAGATTTAGATCCTTTTTTTTAAAAAAAAAAAAACACATCATATAAAGCTAAGGTATTTATTATTTTTAAAAAATTAAAGACAATTTTAATTAATAACAAATTTAATTCTCCCTTTTATTATACTATGACTGATTTGGCTCTTAAGAAAGAGAGACAGAATAAAAAAGGACTTTGAGACTAAATTATTAAGAATGAATTGATAATGATCTTTGATTAGAGCCAACAAAATAACTGATTAATGGAGTTCACCCTGAGGAGAGTCACCCTCTAATACAGTCCCAATACACTGCCCTGAGGAAGCTGGACCATATTGGCAAACAACTTGGAAGAAAGTGAAGTAGATTTCTTCCCAGGAAATTAGATGAACTCCTGTTTTCTCCTTTCCACATAAAATGTGTCCAACATATTCTCAATCAATAACTCTTTCAGGATGGGTGTTACGGCTCTGTGGGTTAAGGGCTAAGCCACCACTTGGGATGCCTGCATCCCGTATCTGAGTGCCCAGTCAGAGTCCCAGCTGTTACACGTTCCATCCAGCTCCCTGCTAATGCACCTGGAAAGGCAGCAGATGATGGCCTATGTAATTGGGCCCCTGCCATCTTTGGGAGAGACTCAGATGGAGTCCTGGGCTCCTGCCTTTGGCCTGGCCTGGTCCTGGTCCTTGCAGGCATCTGGAGTGTGAACTAGCAGGTAGAGGATTCCTTTCTCCCTCTTTCTCTCTGCTTTTCAAATAAATAAATATACAATTTTGAAAAAAAAGAACTCATGACATTTATCTTCAGAAAAATTAGTGAGGATCTCTTCTTGAAACAGATTTCCCAATACTTGGACATACCGGCATCACGGCCTGCATGCAAATGTTGGGCAATATTGCTGCCCAAAGTGCATAATCTGAAATTAATCCTGAAGAAAAGATCACTGCAAGTATAAACAAAAGATCATTCTGCAAGATCAACCTAGGTTTTTTTTTTTTTTTTGCTTGTTTATTTTTGTTTTTTAAAAAAATGTTAATGGCATGAAGGTCCAAAAGAAAAAGAGGGAGAAGGAGAGACAGGGACCATTCAAGAACAAAAAGTGATAAAGAGACATGACAATAACAATTTAATGGAATAAGGAATTCTCACTTCTATCCTAGCTAGAAAAAAGTAGCCACAAATGTTACTGTAGGGGCAATTAGAAATTTCATAATATGGATAATTTCATAATATGGATGATAAATTTTGTGGTCTTATTGTATGAATACTAAATGTCCTAAGTATGGTAATTATATCGTGATGGTGTAGAATATTCTTACTCTTAGGAGATACACACTGAGGAATCTGGGGTGAAGAGTTACATTGGGTAGCTGTTACTATGTGGTAGACCACCCCACACACAACGACAGCCTTCTACTCAGCCTATTGTTTTGTTTAGGCGGGGCTTAGGTTACTTTATGTGCTTGTGATTAGCTCCAGGCCAACTTTTTGTTTCTGGGATTAGGCTGGTGTCAGCTGGGACCACAGGGGTATTAGGTCCCCTTCAGAAGTCAAGTTCTAGGTTATTCACGTAGCAGTGGCAAAGCTCTGAGACGCACAGAGTGATTGAGAGGGAGAGACATGGACAGAGGCAGAGAGAGCAAGCATGTAAGGCTTCTTGAAGCCTAGTTGAAGGACTGGCATAGCATCACTTCTGCTGCATTCTGTTAGTCGAAGCAAATCACCAGGCCAGCCCAGAGTCAAGAGGTATGAAGCCTTCATTTGTGATTTGAGAAGCTGCAAAATCACACTGTAAAGGGCCTGAAAACAACGAGGAATAAAACTACCATCATTTAAAAAAAAATCTACCACAAGGATCTCTGTGTGTCTTTTCAATAATACTAGAAATAGACTGGGATAGAAAACAACAAAAGACACCAAATACAAAAGAATGCATAGTGTAAAATTCATTTTTCTAATCTTTTGAAAAGGCAAATCTAATGTGTCCTGATGGAAGTCAGAATATTTTACATTCCGTGGACTTCTGGGATGCTGGCAGCGTCTGGTTTCTTGATCTAAATGTAAAAACTCCATTGAGCCACTCACCTAAGACAGGTCCTCTTTGCTGTGTGTGTAGCATACTTTAATTTTTGAACGTTTGATTTCAAAAGTAGAAAGAGCATTGATCTTGAAGTTAGAAAACATGATGCTTGGAGCCAGCCTTGTGGCACAGCAGGTTAAGCCCCCTGCTGCCTGCGAGGCAGGTATCCCATATGAGTACAGGTTTGAGTACAGGCTGCTCAACTTCTGATCCAGCTCCCTGCTAATATGCCTCGGAAAGCATCAGAAGACAGCCCAAGTACTTGGGTCCCTGCCACCCACGTGAGAGACCTGGATGGAGTTCCAGGATCCTGGCTTCAACTCTGACTTGTTGCATCCATCTGGGGAATAAACCAGTAGACAGAAGATCTCTTTCTCTCTGTCTCTCCCTCTCTCTCTACAATTCGGCCTCTCAAATAAATAAATAAATAAATCCTTAAAAGAAAACTTGATGCTTCCACCAAGTCCCCCTGTGATATTCAGACTGCTTATTTAATTCTCTGAGCCTCATCTGTAAAAAGAAGCTAGAAAATTCTATGATCCCTTTCACAATCTGGATTCTGAGATTAAATTCCAACCTAACAGTTTGTTCTCTTCCTGCCTACAAATTATTTGTAGGAAATTTGAAAATAACTTATATGTTATATAACATATAATCTTCTAATTAGGAAACTTTTCTTCTCCAGCTTTACTGTACATCCCTGAGATTTTATTTTATGTCCCAGAGTCTGCACAGAAATAATTGTAACAAAGCAAAAAGAATAAAGGGATATCTTTTTCTTTTTTTTTGGCAGGCAGAGTGGACAGTGAGAGAGAGAGACAGAGAGAAAGGTCTTCCTTTTGCCATTGGTTCACCCTCCAATGGCCGCCGCGGCCAGCGCGCTGCGGCCGGCGCACCGCGCCTATCTGAAGGCAGGAGCCAGGTGCTTCTTCTGGTCTCCCATGGGGTGCAGGGCCCACGCACTTGGGCCATCCTCCACTGCACTCCCTGGCCACAGCAGAGAGCTGGCTTGGAAGAGGGGCAACCGGAACAGAATCCGGCGCCCCAACCGGGACTAGAACCAGTGTGCCGGCGCCGCAAGGCGGAGGATTAGCCTAGTGAGCCGCAGCGCCGGCCAGGGATACCTTTCTGAATACAGACAAAAGGCACAAGGTTAGCTATCTGCAGAACCCAGTGGAGGAGCAAGGCACCATATTTTAGTATCACAACAGAAACAGAGCAGAAGAGCTGCCATGTCACTGGGAAGCACCAGGAATCCTTCCAAGTAGTTCACAGGCATTCTACCCTTGTTCTGGAAAATGACAGCACTGCCTCGGGAATACAATTCCATGGTCTCCTCAGAAAGCCACGTGCACAGGCAGGCAGTCTCATACATTTGGGGTCACTGAGGGTGGAGCACAGAGAGCTTCACAGGGGTCCCCTCGTCTTCACACATTTTGTGTGTACTGGGTCACTGGGAAGCAGAGGGCTGCCAGAGAGGTCCAGGTGTCCCACAAGCCTTGCAGCTGCCTTCAGGGGCAGAGAGCCTGGGAATGCCTCGGAGGGTGGTGGTTTTCTCACTTGTGAGCCCTGGGACTCCTTCACAGTTCAAAAGAGCTTTTAATGGAACAACACTGTGGACTTTGTTTGTGTTTTCATGAGGCTTAGCGTTTACCTCGAAGGCTCCTTTGAGCTATGATTTGCAATAGTTTTGTCAAAGTTGCATTAGTTGAATGGATATTTATGGAGTGCCTACTGTATATGAATTCAGATGGCGAAGGTGGCAAATTAGACTCCTGCCCTCGTGGACAGAATATGGAACCCTTCATCAATCAGATAGACAGGGAACTACATACCTCGGTCCTACATGTGGGAGTGATAGTTGAACTTCACAACAGTAGACATCCTTACTCCCGTTTAAAGATCAGGAAACAGACTCAGAGAGGCAAAATAATTTGCACAAAGGGTTACACAGCTACTCAGTGTAATCCATCTAACTCTACTTTGCTATAATGCCTTCACATATAGCATCAGAGACAAAGCGACAAGATGTTCAGTCTCTGAGAGCAGCATTGCCAAGCTAAATCATATGCTCCAGCTCATCTGTTATTAAAACACACACACACTCACACACACACATCCATACCTATTCATTGACATATTTTCTTTTTTAAAATTTCTATTTATTTATTTGAGAGGCTGAGATATTGATGGGCAGAGCTCCCATCCTCCGATTCACTCCCCAAAAGCCCACAATGGTCAGGATTGGGCCAAGGCTTGGGATCCAGGAACTCAATCCACTTGGGTGGCAGGAACCTAATTACTTGGGCCATTGTTACTTCCTCCCAAGGTCTACTCCAGGAAGCTGGAGTCAGGATCTGGAACCAGGTACTCTGAAATAGGAAGTGGGCATGACATCTTAACCACTAGGCCAAACACCCATCCCTCACATATTTTCTACAACTGCTTTCCCATTGAGATAGCAGTGCTGAGTAGTTGCAACAGGGACTTTATGGCCAATTACATCGACGGATATTTGCTATCTGGCCCTCTAAAGAGAAGGTTTGCTACCCTTGCCCATACCCATACACCCCTAGGACATTATCTCCTGTATTAGTTAAGGCAATAGAAGCTCCTGGAACTAACTCTCAAATTTTAAAAACATTATTATATTATTTTTTTCTTTAAGTTTTACTTATTTATTTGAAAGGTAGAGAGATATGGAAAGACAGGTCTTCTATCCACTGGTTCACTCTCTAAATGCCTGCAAATGATTGAAGCCAGGAGACAGAACTTGATCCAGGTCTCCCACATGGGGAACAGGAACTCAAGTACTTGGGATATCAGTTGCTGCCTCCCAGGCACACTAGTAAGAAACTGAATCAGAATTCGAGGCAAGACTAGATCCCAGGTTCCTCTATATGAAATGCAGGTATCCCAAACAGTAGGTCAAAGCATTTCACAACCACATCTGCCCAAAAGCCTAAATTCCAATGGCTGAATACAATACAATTTTTTAAAAAAAGTTTATCTTGGCCGGCGCCATGGCTCACTAGGCTAATCCTCCGCCTGCAGCGCCAGCACCCCGTGTTCTAGTCCCGGTTAGGGCACCAGATTCTGTCCCGGTTGCTCCTCTTCCAGTCCAGCTCTCTGCTGTGGCCCAGGAAGGCAGTGGAGGATGGCCCAAGTGCTTGGGCCCTGCACCCGCATGGGAGACCAGGAGGAAGCACCTGGCTCCTGGCTTCGGATCGGGCGCAGCGCGCTGGCCGCAACGCACTGGCTGTAGCAGCCACTTGCGGGGTGAACCAATGGAAAAAGGAAGACCTTTCTCTCTGTCTCTCTGTCTCTCTCTCTCACTGTCTAACTCTCCCTGTCAAAAAAAGTTAAAAAAAAAAAAAAGTTTATCTCACAATCACACAATATCCTAGCCAGGGTGTTCTTTACTAGAGGTAAGAGAAGGTAGGGAGGGGCTCTGCTCTAGGGACATAGGCTGATTGTTGCGTTGAGGTTACCCTGGGCAGAAACAGCCAAACAGCCAGACAACACACAAGGGAAAGAGAGCACACCAGGCAAAAGAAGTTTCTATGGGCTAGATCTAGAAGGGGAACACATCACTTGCAATCCACATTCTATTGGCTTAAATCAGTCACATGTCTGTACCTACCTGTATAGGATATTTGGAAATGTAGTCTATTGGTATGTCCAGGAAGACAAGGAAACGGGGTTTGTGAATATATAACATTCCACCACAATGCCTAAATTCTAGTCATCTCTACACTCAGAAAAAGTCAGATTTTTTACTTCCCAAATCTATATTAAAACATATATATGAGAAACTTCAAGAACTTCAAAAAAAGTGCAATTGAAAGATAAAAAAGTTTTTTTTTTTTTTTTTGGTTTTGTGTGTGTGTGTGTGTGTGTGCAGAGTATCAGAGTTCTGGTTCAAGAACTGGCTGCTCTGCTTCTGATCCAGGTACCTGTTAATACAGCTAGGAAAGCAGTACAAAAATGCCCCAAGTGCAGAGGCTCCTGCCATCCATGTGGGAGACTTAGATGAGCTCCAGCATCCTGGCTTTGGTCAGGATCATTCCTGGCTATTGTTGGCACTTAGGGAGTAAACCAGCATATGGGAGAGATCTTTTTCTCCCCCCACCACCTTACTCTCTCTCCCTTTCCCCTTCCTCCACCCATCACTCTGCCTTTCAAATAAATAAATATTTTAAAAAGAAAAGTAAAATTTTAAAAAGCACTGGGGTCAGTATATGGTTTAGTAGCTAATATGCCAGATGAGACTTCCATATTCCCTATCAGAGTACCTGATTTTGATATCCACCTTCAGCTCCTGATTCCTGCTGACGCTGACCCCGGAGACAGTGGAGGTGGCTCAAGTAAATGGGTCCCTGACATACATGCGGGAGTCCCGGATAGAGTTTCCAGCTCCTGTGGGCATCTGGAGAGTGAACCAGTAGCTGGCAACCTGTTTCTTTCTCTTCCTTCTCTCTTCTTCTCTTCTCTCCTCCTTTTCCCTCCCCTCCCCTCTCCTCTCCTCCCCTCCCCTCTCCTCTCCTCTCCTCTCCTCTATCTCCATCCTCTACTCTCAAATATTCAATTTTCAAGAAACATTTTTATATCAGTTGAGCAAAATTACTCTATGCAAGGCAAATAATGATGCCATATGAAGCAGACATCCCTGCCTTGAAGATTGTACTCATCACCACGAGTAATAGCAGCTGCTCAACAAACATCTCCAAATCACAGTGCTTTGACATGCGGTATAGCTCACTTGTGTAAAGTTAAACACAGACATTCTTGGCCCAATAACTCTCTCCTGAGTAGTAAGTTAGATCTGGGCTCCTTATACCTCAGTCTCCTGTACCATGTTGAAAGAGAGCACATGTGGCTAATCACTCAAGATATTCTATGGCCAGACATGGAAGTAGCACAGTTATGGCTGTCATCCCAGGAAGAAGAAAATGGGATCCTGGAGATGGGGGCAAGGGGTTTTGGAGCCTTTTACCACGAAGGTGATCCTGATCCAGCTCCGGGGGAAGACAGACAAGCAAACAGACACACTGTACTTGAGTATAGTGCGATTAATCATAAAGGCATGAGTGCTGTGCTACTGTAGTACTCTGAAGGAGGTAGGATTCTAAGATATTTCATCAGCTTTTGGTATACAATTTCATAAATGTGCTTGAAACTTACCCTGTACGAAAATTATAAACCAGTGCTCCCTAACATCTCAAAAGTGGCTCTCTGCTGGCAGCCTTGTGGGCAATATTAGCCCCAGCACCCGTATGTTTATCAATACTCATTACGCGTGCTTGCTAGAACATAAACTCACCTGGAATTTGGATTCCCCAGCGTGAAGGGATTTTAATAGGATTCATTCATATAACCTGTTGAACATTTTATAAAGACATCTGCCCCAAAATTCAATTTACATTTTACAACATTTTACAAAAGACTTTGATCTCTAAATCTCAATTTACAATTTTACAAGAATTTGCATTCATTGTAAGGGTTTCTTTCCAGAATTTTAAAAAAGCCATTTCCCTCCCCCTACCCTGCCTTAGGATCAAAAAAAAAAAAAAAAAAAGTGACCTAGATGAGAGGAGAAGTGTTTGTGGCTCACATGTGCGGGCTGCGTGTGAAGTAAGGACATAGCCCTTGGAGGCGAATTTATGCCAGTCTGCCTCTGCCCACAAGAAAAGCCACTTGTTCCAGTGTACCTGCATCGCAATCCGGCACAACTGGGGTTGGAGCCATCCTTAAACTCTCTTTGGCTACAGGGTTCCAGTGTGCCATCTTATAGATGCGACATCTCTGTACAGCTGAGTCTCCCCCCCCCCTCCTTCCCTTTTACGTGCTCCTAGTTGGAAAACACAGTGAGTATCCTTGTGGGACTTGAAAACTGCTGGGATCTGCCCTCTTTGATCTCCCATTCTGAACCGTGCTCAGTCTATTATTTCAAACTCTCCCCCGCCAGTGCACCAGCTGACAGTGAGGGGCATTTTGGAGCCTGGAGCCCGCCTGGCAGGACCAGCTGCCTAACCATCCCAAGCAAGCACGCCGTCTACACATCTCTTTCTCTCCCGCCAAAAACATTAACTGAAAGGGGGGGGGGATCTCACGCCTGCCAATTTATTAACAAAATGCTGGCCCTGGTTGGTTTTTTTTTTCTTGGACAGGCAGAGTTAGACAGTGAGAGAGAGAAACAGAAAGAAAGGTCTTCCTTTTTCCATTGGTTCACCCGCCAAATGGCCGCCACGGCTGGTGCGCTGCGCCTATCCAAAGCCAGGAGCCAGGTGCTTCCTCCTGGTCTCCCATGCGGGTGCAGGGCCCAAGCACTTGGGCCATCCTCCACTGCCTTCCTGAGCCACAGCAGAGAGCTGGACTGGAAGAGGAGCAACCGGAACAGAATCCGGCGCTCCAACCGGGACTAGAACACGGGGTGCCGGCGCCGCAGGCGGAGGATTAGCCAAGTGAGCCGTGGTGCCGGCCAGATTTTTTTTTTTTTAATTCTACAAGTTATCTTCCTACCCCCGACACAGAAAATCCAACCAGCGTGCCTTAACCACCGCGATATAAATTCTGCACCACCCTACGGTGACCTGAGAAACTGTGGGAAAGGTAAAAGCCCTTCTTGTCATCCGTGGAGTGAGACTCGGCTGAGGTGTCATGCATGAAGAAGTGCGCTGGGAAAGTGAATGAGCTCAGATTCAGAATCTAGCATCTAGGTTTCTAGGACTCGGAGAACGGGGGCAGAAAGGTAGGGGCCTTGCTATCTGGAAAGCTTTAATTTCATTCGCCAAAAGAGACCCCAAAGGATCCACCCAGGAGACGCTGGGGTCCGAGATGCGAGACGGGCTTGGAAGAGTGTGTGAAAGGGACGTTTGTGTACGAACGCCTGGGCTGGGCTGCGCTCACCGGCAGGGAAGGGCTGGGCTGGCGCAGGGGAGGAGGGAGGGAGGAAACGCGCTGGGAGGCGGGCGGAACGCGGTATAAAAGGCCACAGCCTTCAGCGCGCCCGCCACTCTGAGCCACTTCAGGAGCGCAGGAACCAGAGCGAGAAGCACAGGAGGAAAAACGCGCGGTGCCGCTGCAGCGACGCGAGCCCACCGCCGGACCCGGGTCGCTCCAGCGTCTGAGGAGAGGATCCAGGAGCGCTTCCATTTGCCAGCTGCCCCCTTGCAAGGCATGAGTCGCGCGCGGGAGCCGGAGGTTGCAGCGCGGTCATGAGGCGGTGGCCCAAGAGCAACGGCTGCATTACGGCGGCCCCCAAGTCCCCTCCGGGCGCGGCGCCCCCGGGATGAGCACCCCAGACTTGAGACTAACAGAGCTGAGATCCAACCCCCCGAGCGTCACCTACGTCCTGAGCGCCTGAGCCCAGTCGGCGGCACCGCGCTCTGCAGCTTCCCGCCGCGACACCTGCGCGCTGGACCCGGCCGACGCAGAGCGAATCCGACTCACCTCCCTTCCCAGGCTCTACAGGGCGGCGCGGACGCGAGGGATCCGGCGTTCCCGCGTTCAGGAACCCGTGTCAAGGTCCTTTGGGAACTATACGTTGTCATTCCCCCACTACCCTCCCTGTTTGGCGCAAGGGCGCACAGACACCTGGCTGGTCCGGCGCCCCCTCCGTTCTCCAACACTACAACTCCAGCTCCACTTTGCCAATAAAGGTTTCCAAACTCGCGCAGGCACTCCCACCCACCCATAGTCCCGAGCCTCGGTGTGCACCGGGGCTGTGCCCCCGCCAGCCACAGCGACCTCGGCAGCGCGCACTTGGCACAGCCGAAGCACGCGGACTCAGGCGCCAGAGGAGCGCCCCGGCCACCCCAAAACAGTGACAAAGTCCGCGTGCCCCGGGCCCCCATCTGGAGCCAGCCCACCCTTGGACTGGGCGGCCGGGCGGAGTGGAGTGAGGGAGGTGACTCGCCGGGTGAGTGGCTCCGGGCGGCGAGGGCGGGGGAGCCAAGCGTGGAGGTAACTCCGGGCCGCTGCTGAAGCCCTCCTCCTCCACCGCCTCCTTCTCCTCCTCCTCGCGCTCCTCTGGCGGCCGCTCCCGCTCCAGCTGCGGCGCGGCGGCCACATCTGGGGCGCCCATGTGCGCTCGGGGGCTCGGCTGCGCCCGCCCCGCCGCCGCCCCCGCAGCCCCCTGCCTGCAGGGTGGCCTCCGGCCGGGCCCGGGGCCCGGGCAACCCCGGGTCCCCATCACCACCGCCGCCGCCGCCGGGCAGCGCCGGGGTTTGCTCCATAGCCTGCTTGGACGTCCCCGGCCCCGCGGTGGCTCCGCCGTGGTGCGGCGGTGGCTGCGGCGGCGGCGGCGGTGGCGGTGGCGGTGGCGGCTCCTGCTCCCCAAGTCCGGTGCGCCCCGCCGAGCCCAGCGCCAGCCCCACGGGCGAGGGGACCGGGGCCCCGGCGGGGGCCGAGGCGGGAGCCGCGCTGCCGGGCTCCAGGGCTCCGACTCCTCCTCCCCCGGCGCCGCCGCCGCCGCCGCCACCACCACCACCACCACCGCCGCCGCCGCCCGCCGCGCGGGGTCCTAAAGCCGCGCGTCTCAAGAGGATGGTGCGCCTGGCGGCGGAGCTGCTGCTGCTGTTGGGGCTGCTGCTGCTCACGCTGCACATCACGGTGCTGCGCGGTTCAGGAGGCGCCGACGGGCCCGACACGGCCGAGGGCAACGCCAGCCGGGCCCAGCTGCAGGTGAGTGCGTCACCGGCGACGGGCGTGAGTCCAGCGGGGAACGGGTGGCGGGATGCTGAGACAGTGCCTGGTGCGGGTGAGGAGGCGGGTCCTCTGCCCCACCAAAGGGCGGCTGTTTTGGCAGCAATTCTGCCAAGATAACGACTTAGGTAGAGGCGGGCGGGACTCTGTGCCTGAAGGTCGGACCCTGCTCAGAGGTCTGCGGGAGGCGCCCCCCCAACATCTGTCTCAGGTTAGGTACCTGTGGACGCGCGGCGTAGGATGCGCGGAGAGGGTGGGGAGTGCGTGTTGGCTTGGGTTGCTACCGGGCTAGCGGTGTCCTTTGGAGGTGAGTGATGTTATTTCAGGCGGGGCGGAGCGGCGGGATTCGGGGGATCTTATGGGATAACATCCTCAAAGTGTGTTGGGAAGAAACAATTCAGGGGGTCTGCCCACCTGACCCAAGGTCAGGACACAGTTTCCCAGAGAGAATAGCCACACATCTTGTGTTCTTACGGGGCCTCGTCGGAGGCTCCCACATATCCTCTTGGCCGTGGGTGGGGGAGGAAGGCGCAGAATCAAGCACCTGTGGTGATTCCGGCCCGGCCCGAGTTACCTGGGCTTTTAAACTAGCGGCAGACACTTCCTCCCAGCGATGCTTTCTTTAGGAATGGGATTCTGTTGACTTTCGTCAGCTCCGAGGCAGCAGAGGAGTCGCGATTGGGAAGGAAATGGACAGTGTGAATTTTAGTGTATGAGTAAAGGTTGTTCTGGTGGATCTCCTGCAGCTGCCTTGGAAAGCGCTTTTCCTTGGGTTTAGGCGTGTGACAACTGAAAACCTGGCGCGAGGATGGAAGTGAGCAGGGATTTTCCCAGGAGGCAGCGAGAATTCTCTGGCTCCTAAAACCTCCTTAAGGCATCCCTTCTAGAACTCTCAACTCTGCAATGTTGAAACAAGTATTATTCATTGGTCCCAAAACATTTATAGTCAATGCTTCTGCTAATTCGTTTTTTTAAATATCCTTGTGAAAACTGATGCTAAAGACTTTGCAGTTAAAGAGAGTTCACTTTAATCTGTCCATAGCACTACTATTTTAAGTGCTGCACAGAATTTAACTCATTTCATTTAATCCTAACCCTGCCGGACAGGTACTGTTAATATCTCCCCTTTACAGATGTGAAAACTGAGGTCCAGAAAGAACAAGAGGTTTGCCAAAGCTCACGCGTTCCAAACTTGATTGATCGCATCAAGTTTTCTCTCTGCCAGGATGTGATAGACTAAAGCAAGGGGATCTTTGCACACAAATACAAAACGGGGAATGAAAGCTTAAACTTTTTTTAAATCGGGGACATTTCCAAAAAGGCCCTAACCTTGGGAGGGAGGGCGCTTCACTTCTCCTGTGGATAAACAGGTGCCATGACAGGCCAATGGAATTCCTTTGGGGATATGGAAGATCCTGGAGTCCTTGTAAACTGGCGTGTATACCCACTAGTCTTACACTGTAAGAATAATCCTTAATATCTTCAAGATTTCTGGAAGTCATATTTTACACATGATGCTTTCTTTCCTCCCGGACTCAGGAGAAGTCATAAAGATGATGTTCGGCGGAAAAGTAAATTTGGCAGATTTCTTTATGAGGTGTTTGCTATCATTAGAATAACCCGGGATTGGCCTTTTCTGCCTGAACAGGAAGGTAATGAGAGAAGCAGCTGCTCGAAGTGGCAACTCTGAAAGGAAGTGGATTGAATTCTCAAAAGAGGCTTTGGCAAAAGAACTGCCCCCAAGAGGGCAAAAGACACAGGGGAGTGTAGGAACACTAATGTTCCTAGGATGATCTTATGTCTCAAGCGGCTGCTACATCACTAAAGTCAGCTTAGTTTGTAGTAGTAGTCCATTAACACTGTCCACTCAGTACACACACTTCTCCAAGCAGAATGATGAACGTAGCAGGTTGGTTCATGATTTTACTCTTTTGTAATTTGTTATTGTAAGAGTTTTATATTCTTCCTGACCAAAGTTACTTCTTGGGCACTCTGATTGCCACAAAGACATTGCCATGCAATGGACAAAGCATGTTCTGCCAAGTGAGGAGCTCTGCAGAACACACTTATGAGTCTGTTGTTCTCAGACCCTGGAAAGTGACTTTGCTAAGAGCAGGTGTATTTGCAGACAAAATGTGGATGCTGTTTCTTTGTGTTCACTAAGAATCTTAAACCCAGTCTTCACTCCATCTAACTTTATTAGCTTTGTGATACCCTAAGCTGTCGAAATCCTTCTTTGCAAATAGTCTGTTAATCAATTCTTATGCATTATTTTTGTTCTTGCTATCTCCACTTGAAACATTCTAAAATATGAGACTGGCTTAGTCAGAAATATGCAATGGTGAGTGTATGTATACATATTTTATCATATATGGAGTCATTTCAGGGATACAGCTTTGTATGAAATTTGGTAGTTTGGATGTATCAAGGACAGTTAATAAAACAGTAGTAAGGATGAAAACAATAATTGTTAAGGTTCAGTGACTTTGATTTGACAGGCTCTGTTCTTAGCACTTTACGTATGTTAACTTTCTTCATCCTCGCAAAAATCCCGTGAATTAGGCAGTATCTTTATCACTGTTGCTAATGGAGAAACTGACGTTGGATAACTTATCCAAGGTCGCACAGCTAGAGGATCCTTAATTTGTTTTTGTTATTTTGTAGTGTAAAAATTCTTGAGGGATATATACTTGTAGCCCAAATTTTTGGTAATGTCCTCATGCTAGCTACAGGGCAGAAAAAGCCTTTCAACAATTTGCATTTTTCAAACGCATCTTGACAATCTTACTGTGTTAAATATGAATATACATGTAGGTATTCAGTTACATATGAGGATACTTCAAAAAGTGCATGGAAAATGGAATTAAAAGATAAGTTCATTTAGGCACAAAAATTTTTTAAATCCATGCATAGTTCTTCCAAAGCAAAATTTTCAAGAAATTTTCTAAAGACCCTTTGTACATGCATTTCATGTATATGAACATACATACACATTTATATGAGCATAATCTAAGATGATATTTTCTGATAGTTTCCACATAGTTGGGGATACATTTTGACTGTGCACTTTCGATTGTGCCTGTATTGCAGGTACCCTGTTCCAAAGTGTCAGTACAATGCTTTGAACATGCTGTCTCTATTAGTTAACTGATTTGTAAAAATAATGATCTTAGTTTTTGTACTATTTTCAATATTTTAAAATATCTAGTAGATTGTCTACAGGGCTGCATAAAAATGCCTAGAAATATCAACCATTCTTGCTCCTAAAATGAAATATTTTCTCCTCATTGGAATAAATTTGTCTCATGTTGATCAGATACTCAGATTAGCTCTTCAGTGAATGAGAATGAGAAAACAATTATATATAATAAAAGAAGTCTGGAAAACAGAACATTACAAAACAGAGAATACATAGGCACTAATAATTTCAATTATAATAATGGTATCTTTTCCCTGAAATTCAAAGAAGTGCCTTTTTACTAAAATTCAGGTTTAGAATCATTAAGTTTCACATAATTTTACTAGTAAAGCCAGGACTCATCAGGTCATTGATATTTAAGAAAATATTTTTAAAAAGACCAAATTGATTATTTTTGCAATAACAAATGTTTTTGTTCTCTGTCTCCTGTCATCTTTGTAAGCACTTCCCCTCTTTTATCCTCTATTGCCTTCAATAAAATAGCTTAGCTTCTTGTATTCACTGCTGCAGACTCAAGAGTTCATCTGAGCCAAGTTATAGCAATGTAAGGAAAAGCAATATTGGTTTGTACTTAATTCAAGAAAAAATTCTTATGGTGACTCTATGGGACAGATGACATTTATGTACTGTAGTCTCCCTTTATTAGCAAGGGATACATTCCAAGACCCCCAGCAGATGTGTAAAATTATAAATAGTATGGAACCCTGTATATACTATGTTTTTCCTTATGGATGGAGGAAACATCAAAAAAAATTCATGGAAAAATGAAATTAAAAAATAAGTTCATTTTGGAGCAAAAAGATTTGAAATCATGCATAGCTTTTTTCATAAAAAGTATTTTCCAGGAACTTTTTGAAGACCTTTTGTGTACATATCTATGATAAAATTTAATTTACTAATCAGAGACAGTAAAAGATTAACAAAAACAATAAAATAGAATAATTATTACAATATATTATAATAAAAGAGATTTCATCACACTAAGAGCAGTGCACAATTTATAATTTATGAACTGTGTATTTCTGAAATTTTTCATTTGATAGATTAAGACTGTGGCTGACTGTACTTGAAACCATGGAAAGCAAAACTGGGCACAGAGGAACTACAGTACACATTTACAGATAAAGAAATTGAGGGCAGAAGACATTTAAGTAACTTGTGCAAGGCTACACAACTCTGGTGGGGGCAAGGCTGTGAGGCTAGCTTTGGCGTCCAAGTTCTTATTCTAGTCCATCAAGTAAACAGTCAGTTGTGTTTCTTGTTTTCTGATTACCTGCCCATTTTCCAGTCTGATTGTTTACTTTTATCATTGAAATTCCTTATAAGTGACAGCAAGTTGTTCCACTTAGCCATGGCTTCATATCAAAGTACCCCGAAATTTGGGTGGCTTAATATAACCATCATTTTATGTGCTCATGAGTTTTTATTCCACAGTGTGTTCTGAGTTCAGCTGGGTGGTTCTTCTGCTCATCGCACCTGAAATTACTCCAATAGCTATGAGCATCTGTTGGCTTCATGGAGTACTTAGTGCCAAGATGACCTCAGTCATATTCTGATGATTGGTTTAGGCTATCACCCAGTTTCTCTCTCCACATAATCTTTCATCCATAAGGACTCACAGCAGCAAGATATTAAAAGCAGAAGTCATAAGGCCTCCAGATAAACATGCACAATAGCACTTCAGTCACCTTCTAGTAGCCAAACAAATCCATGTGGCCAGGACAGCGCCGCAGCTCACTAGGCTAATCCTCCGCCTTGCGGCCCCAGCACACCAGGTTCTAGTCCAGGTCAGGGCGTCGGATTCTGTCCCGGTTGCCCCTCTTCCAGGCCAGTTCTCTGCTGTGGCCAGGGAGTGCAGTGGAGGATGGCCCAAGTACTTGGGCCCTGCACCCCATGGGAGACCAGGATAAGTACCTGGCTCCTGCCATCGGATCAGCGCGGTGTGGCGGCCACAGCGCGCTGGCCGCGGCGGCCATTGGAGGGTGAACCAATGGCAAAGGAAGACCTTTCTCTCTGTCTCTCTCTCTCACTGTCCACTCTGCCTGTCAAAAAAAAAATTTTTTTTAAACAAATCCATGGGGCCAGCTTGGACTTTAGATGGCAGGAGACAAGAAATAGATTCCACATATTATTGGGTGAACAGCAAAGTCACATTGCAAAGGAGGAATGTAGTACAGAAAGGAATTGTTATGGCCATCTTTGCAAAATATCTACCCTATTCTTTTTTTTGTCTCACATACTTTTGTACATGTTTTGACCAATTTTGTACATTTTACTATTGTTAAATGCTTAACACTGTTAACATTGTTTATGCATGAAGAAACTTTCCATTTTAAAGTTAATCAGCTCTGAATATTTTTCCATATGACTTTTGGTTAAAGACTGTAAAAATCTTACAATGTATCTTTTTTTTTTATTTATTTTTTTTTTTATTTTTTGACAGGCAGAGTGGACAGTGAGACAGAGAGAGAAAGGTCTT